ACAAACTTTGATAAGTAGCAGGTGTATGAGATGTCAGCCGGAATACCAGACGAGTTGGCAAAAGCTGCCATTGTTTATAAGATGATGATCACAATTCGCAAATGACAACAACGCCCTCACAACTTCTTATTAGATCGTATACGGTGTTTTGAATTGCTAAGTGATGACTGATGACTGACTCCTCTTTAAATAAATTCCAGTAGGTAAGTTAACAAAACGTAGAATGAATTTGAAATATCTATAAAATTCTTTCAATTATTATACTATTTTCTTTCTACTCCTAGGTCTGTTTCGCCACTTTCACATAGGTTCCCGATAAACATAATTGGAATGTAGTCTATACGAACTAACGTTCTATATTCAAATTTATCTGGCAAATAGTGGCTATCATTATAAAACAGGACTTTAGTCTAACAATTTCCTATTTGCTTACATTTTTATTAGGTACTCTGTAATAAATTATACCACTGCTCTTGTAATGTTCATGGTCTGCGTTTAGAAAAATGGCATGTATTAAAATTAACTCTCCATTCGTACCTATGTGGGTTGCAGATCTGTGCAGTTAGGACTCGTCAGTTCTATCTATTAATAGACAGCGTGTTCAATTTAGAATAGTCTCAGATAAATGCTTGAGGAAATTGTCACGTTCCCAGTATTTTCCATGTCTGCCGTAGTGCCGTTGCTTGAATCTTAATTCCGTTTCTAACAATTCCCTTCTCGTACATAACCCAACATTTTTAATATTCCACGCGCAATCTTCGCACGTTTTAATTCAACTTTGACCTTTACTATCCTGGAGCACTGTCCCATTTTATCTGCCGTGACATTTAGTGGGCTTTGCATCGCTGGATTCAGTTTGCTTGTAATTTTCCGCTTCGGTAAGTTTTAATGAGGCCTTTAGATGTTCCAGGTTGTTCATAGCAGACTTGGCAAAGGCTTTTGTCTGGAATGAAGTGGCTACTTAATTAGTTCGAAGTTGCGCTAGACTGTTATTAAAGAGTTTAGTCAAAGAAACCTTATTGAAGAATTGTCTTAAATTTTCCTTTTTCTCGAGCTTAATACAGCACAGCTGATTAATCTTAATTTTCCCTTATAATTACGTGTATAATAAATACAAAATATTGATCACGGAGCTGGTCCAATCTGGGTCAGCTGTCGGTCGTTCAACGCTCACCGTCCTGCGATAACCTGAGCACGAAGTTGTATCGATTTCATTGACTCCCCTGAACTTCGATTACGTCAATGAATGACACTTTATAGCTGTTATCTATGCAAAACAGGTGACTGATAGTACTATCCTTTAGGACATAGTTTTGTCCACAAATCTACATTATACTATCATGACTATATGAATTCTAGTAGCGTCCAACATAAATGTAATAAACTACACATTGTCTTTCTTGTACCCTTATCTTAAAATCCTTCATACTTTGATCAGCACAATTTGTGACATCCATGTCTAAACCTAATCTGTCAGAAATATTCGTAAAATAAATGTTTACGATGCTCACGCCGCTTGACGTATGATTTCATGTGCGTGCAGTTGTTCAAATAAAACATCTACGATGGTTGTTTTAGAGAAAAACAACGATTGTTAATAATACGAACTATTTCTTTGTAATTTTTCAACAATATTTCACTGAGTTTTATTATGATAATCTTATAAATTATTACTTATGATTTACTGTGTTCCACTTATTCCATCAGTCTCTCATCTAAGCCATCCCACCTACTAGTCATATTATGTATAGTATTTTATCGATTAGTTTTATGCGATTAGGCTCATAAGCTGTCCTAAATATACGACTGCACGGTTAGTGCGGTGGCTGGGCAACTGGCTGCCGTGCAACGTGTCGCGGGTTCGATTCCCGCACGGAACAACTCTTTGTGTGACTCACAAATTGTTGTTCCGGGTCTGGGTGTCATGTGCATGTGAAATTGTATGTTTGCAAACGCACCCACGACACATGAAAATATCCTAGTGTGGGGAAACGTTTTTTTAAAAAAAAAAAAAAAAAAATAAGAAAAGTTTTGTTTGAAGATCTACGATCTACCTCTGCATAACTCTGATGTAATCGGAAAATTTTGGCAAATAATAACCTAATCGCAATTATTATTGTGACTAAGTTCAGCGTCCGCGGCGACACTAAGTAGTAAATATCCCGATTTGTCCGCCATCTTGGCAAACGTCCAAGTGTTCCTGCTCTCCCTACTGCGGACAGTGATCACGCCATGTGCGCAGTCACGTGGTCGGATTCCATACATCATGATGTTGAATTTATGTTGTCTGTGTAAGCTGATGCAATTTGTTCACGACAGAAATTCCATTTGTTTTATATGTTTCCATTGATGCTGTTTCTTATTGAATTATTAAATGGTTTGGGAAGTGGTTTTCGTATTTGAAGGGCCTAAATTGTTGGTGAGTTTTTTAAATTGTTGCCTTAAATATCCAAGTGATATCAAAGCTGTCTACTTATGTATCATCATTTTCTTTACTAGAATAAAGTACCATTGCCCTTATCCTAATAGCGAAAGTACTGTTCCACTCTTATCATGTCATTTGTTCTCATCCACGAGAGCATCATTATCTTTAAACGGATGTTGGAGTTTTGTCGCCGAATACGCACGGTAACCTTGACTATCTCGCTGCACTGTTCGAAAGTTAATACATATATTAGAATACTCGACATTATTTATCTCCCTGCTATTATACGGACAGAGAAATTGATCGGGATTATGATGATGATTAGGGCTATTTTCATCTCAGCATCGTTAGTAAAACTATCGTGAGTATATTGAAAAAAAAAACAAACGCATTAGCTTGTTTTAGTAAATGTCGAGTCAACTTTGAAATTCGACGAGGTTCATTTGTGGTCGAGACAGACCGACGATTCTTATAAAAGCACTTAGGGAGAGTAACAGCCTGGAAAACTATACCGGGTAACTATCCCTATCTAATTTTTCTTTTCATCTCAATGGTATTCTTATTGGCAAACTACCAAGACGTAGGTACAATAGAATGCATAGCTAAAAGTTCTATACTGTTTTATAATACATTTGCAGACTAGAAATCATAAGGAATGCAATATTTTGTACTGGGTAAGTAGTTGATTGGTCTAAAAACTAAAACTAAGTCATAAAGAAACAGAAAACAAACTAGATATCTCTTAAGTTACTTCTAATGTGTAAGAGAACAATCGAATTCCTATCTTATCGTTATAGAAATGGCTTCAAATTGCTTTGTACAGCTTCCGAAAAAAATCAATGAGCTTCATTCAACATTTCTGACGAAACGTAGATCATTTATCATCCACTGAGTATTTAGGGGAAAATTATATCATTTATGTAATTTGTATCATATGTTGAGGGGTAAAGAGCACATTTTTGGTCATCACTCGTGAAGCACCAAATATTCATGTTACAATTGGATGTTTGGTGACGGATGAGTAGACTTTACTAAGCTGCCTATTAAAATAATGACTGATATAATGAAACCAATTTCTTTTAAACGTCAAGCGTCCAAGTTACAGTAAAATCCTTATTATTGTAGAGGATGCCTATATTCGGGATGATAATGACACTTTTCAAGAATCCATAAAGGAGTACCAATTCCTTAGTATCTTAATACATAGTGCTATAGGGCTATGAAAAAACGGTCCGTTGTATTGAAGATAAAAATACGTGCACAATAATAGAACTAATCAACTTAATGAAGTAGATATTCCACATACCCATACCATGGCTCTTTGTGGTTTATTTGCCATCAGCTATTTTTATTACCCGCATACATTGACAGGACCTGTTTATAGCTTCGTTTACCTATAAGTTATCATGATTACACTCTCAATTCGTTCAATGTCAGCCTTATTTTGAGAAATTTCTTGGTACCGGGGACTTTCCGTTTCGATACTTGAAACTCTTGGAAAAACATTCCTTTTCGTAATAAGAGGTAAAGAATGGAAAAAAACTTGTGATTTTTCCCTAGTGACAACCGTTTATAGCTAGATTTTTTGCAATTTTACGTATAACAGGAAAACGACATTTCCGATAACTTGTCAAAGGGACACGCCCAAAAGGTATTGATGTACAATTTATTAGTGCACACGTGACGCAGGACACCTAAATTTGCACTATCTATGATTGGGTACCGCGCAGCCGGCAGCTTCGCTTGTTGGTCAATATTGCGGTCTGGTTGTGACGTAGGTGCGCGCGCATACGTCCTTGTGACCTTCACGTGATCAGATATTACCCCTACATGAAATATGATGCTGGATTGTGTAATAAGTATTTTTATATGGTTATTGGATACGTCGTAAGGACTAAGATTATTCCAATTAGACAGCATTATCAAGATTATAATTCAACAATTCATTCACTGATATTAACCAGTTCTATAGACTGATAAAAGGAATACCTACTTTTTTGAATTAGCTTGTGTAGATTTAAAGATAGTACGGAAATTCCTAATTAAAAGAGTATCGTAGGTAAAACTATGACATTAAAAGACATTACACCATTAATTTTATTATTTTGCAATATATTTATAAATATAGGTACTATCAGGCGCCACATAACATAATTAAGGACGCAATTCGATATAAAACCGTACAGTTTTACGATAAAAATGTATAGCATGACCCCGGTTCCTATAATGTTTATGTGAACTACCACCATGAGTTATCGGAATGTCGTACGAAATACGCAAGACCACTTTATGTATAAACAAAACTACACGTTAACTATAATGATATTGTGCAATTAAAATTTGATATATGTAATTATAATTCTATAGTGCCTATGAAATGATATAAACATTTTTGTATGTTCTATCATTTCTTGTATTTTTAAAACTATTTCTATGTATAATTTAATGAACACAAATAAACTTAACTCTTTTAGATATTACTGAACAACACTTAATTCGAATCACACACAATAGACAATAAAAAAATAGTTTGAACCTAGACACACAAATAAACCTCTTATTTTCTAATTTCCAGAGACACCCATCAAATCGACTTGCCGCCCTTCGGCCGATATGCCACCGGAATCTTCTTCCTGGACAAGCTCCATCATCAGGATATTGAGAAGAAATTCGGTGAACTAGCCGAGAGCCTTGGACTGACTGTGCTATGCTGGCGTACCGTTCCCACGAACAACTCCACCATTGGTAAGATACCTTCAAACTTTAAATGAACTAATGATAGTCAGGACATGTAGGAATTTCTATGTGAAAATCGAGCTTTGTTGTTTTAACAGTTCATATAAATCATGTCTCATGGGTACCATGCATGGAATAGAAATCAAAATATTAATATGTGATTAATTTTTGGTAAAGCATTTTTGATGGGGCCACATTGCATGCTTCTTGTAATCTGTGTCCATATTAGTGAAACATTGAATTTGATGATGCCTAATTAATTCAGTTGACTTAAGATAAAGAAGTTTTATAATGAGTTAATATTTTGTTTGGTTTACAACATTAAAACACATTTAAGAAATGTTCGTTATTATATTTTGCACTCATTTACACAAAGTTTTGTCCAACTACAGAATTTCTAAAAGGGAGAAACTACAAAAAAATATTTTAAAGTTAAGGAACCCCAGTTACTTTCAAAACAAGGTGGACCAGTCAATTAGACTGCCGACTTACAACTTTCGACATTGACCCAATTTTCTAGACATCAATTTAACTGATAATTTTTATTAAATTTGGAGATATTAATTCATTTCTGAAACCTGTAAAAAACCGGGACATGAATTTTAAGATATAAAAATCTAGTTACATTCAAAGCAAACCTCTCAACATTTGTTAAATGTGATATACAAAAAAGTGTCATAATTAAAAACTTGAGCTCTAGACCAATTCTGAGAAATACTGCGAGCCTTTTTGACATAGGTATTGAATAATGTACTGTGTCAGTCTAAAACGTAGAAGTCAGGACCAATCTGGTAAATCAACGTGGCGCCAGAGTAATCACAGCCAATGGGACTAGTCGACTAGTTGAGTACAATCACTGATTTAATTTAAATCTTATTGGAACGATTGTCCGATCGCTCCACGTTTCGTTGTTTCTATTATGAACCATATATACAACAGATACGACATAATTTTCCCTAGCATACGAATCTCACAATATAACCTCTATGATATCTGACATTATTGGAAAATGATAAAAAGGCTCTCAGTAAAACTGTGGTAGGTTCAAAAGGCATTATCATTTATATTGTCCTGTCAATCACTGACGACTTGTATATGAAGTTCGTCGCTCGATATAAGGCCAGTTTCGGCGTTGCGATTTTTGTTTGCGACTATCATTCCAGGTCGTTCTCGTAGTAATGTCGGGTCGTTTAAACGCGGCTGAACGCGGTCATGCGATGCTTGACCAAACGGTTTGTTCGATTTGACATTAGATTCGGTGCTATGCGTTGTTGACTCATTAGAAGCAGTAGTGCAAATTTCTAGTGTCCATATTTTTAATAATTACAAGACACAGACAATTTGTGTTACAGCGTTGTTTAATACTTTTGTATGTCCTAAGTGATTCAACAACGCATAGTTAATTCTTATTTCTAAATTTTTCAAAGGGTATCCACATTTTAGCTTTTATAATGATGGCATTAATTCTAAGGCGTAAAATAGTTTTGCTTCAATCAAATACATGTAGATACTCTTGGAAAATTAAAATAAAATAATTATTTGATGTACTGTCACACGCATCGAAAGATACAAAAGAATTTTATTTTATTAATCAATGGTATATTTGTTAAGAGAGACCATTTTATATGTAATTTGATGCTTGGATGGTACTGAATAGTGGTATAAACCAAAAAGATTCTGATTATTTCTTAGAATTACTGGAAACTTTAACTTGAGATTCATTATACAAACATTAATGTTATATGTTATTATTTATTTTAATGTTCTCCACAAATCAGTTTTTGTTGAATCTTGAGTTAAACATTGAATAAGCACAATTCCAGCCATTGTCATTATATAACGCTTCAATGGTAATATTATCACGTGTATTTATCATTCAGATTGTCATAAATGTCGCCATCTGTTCAGTTCAATTACATACAAGTTCAAATGCATACAACATTTATGACATTGCAACGAACATTGGCTTACCATTAAGTGGTCTTATAAGATGTGCTTACGATTGAGATATAACTATTTTAGTATAAAGTTGACACATTCTCTTGGTGAAGTTAGTAATGGGCTGTTTTGGCTCGCTTTCAGGTCAAGTGGCTCGTAATTCGGAGCCATATATGCGTCAAGTGTTTGTTACCGGAGATACCGACGACGAACATCTAGCCAGACAGGTAAGAGCGAGACGGAGCGAACCGGAGCGAGAGAGTGAGAGGGTATGGGAGTATGAACTTGCAACGTTGCATGTTGCAAATTCATTCTCTTGATATTAATGTAAGCGCGGTACTAGGACGTAAGGAACTCTTATAGGTGTTTTTTCAGATCGTTGCGTGCGCACTGGCCGGCCGGACGCGACCACTTCGTGCCAAACGTAAATTTTACAAACCCTTTCATAATCCCTTTGGGATGCTTGCATTCAAAAGTTGATATAACACACCACAATTAGTGGAAATTAAAAAAAAAAAAACTTTTTAGAATACAAGAAATGAAAGTCCAACTTTTCCATACAGGCATCCCACCGTTCGCTGTATTTTCTAGGTGTGTAGAGTGCATGTGTGTTTTCAGATATTCGTGCTCCGCAAGCGCGCCTCCCATGAGCTGGTCGTGCCGGGAGCCAGGTTCTACATCTGCAGTCTTGCGCTCAAGACTGTCGTCTACAAGGGACTGTTGACCTCTCAGCAGCTATGGGTAAGGAATTAAATTAACTTAAAAAAATACATACAAAAATGACCATAATGGTAATAGAGAAACAGTGAGGTCTCAAGTATTAGTTATCATTCGAGAGGTAGGATCTTTTGACTGTGTGATTCACGTATGGTTTATGTAACGCCATCTGTTGACTTATTTGTCGAACTTCATTTTACAAAAAATGATTGTCCATTCATAGTATCTAATTAATAATATAATTAAATATAATGTCATGGTGGCCTGGAGGATAAGGCGCCCGCTTCTCATGCATGAGGGTGCGCGTTCGAAACCTGGCAAGTACCAATGTGACTTTTTCCGAGTTATATGTACTTTCTATGATTATTTAGACACTGCTGACATACGGTGAAGGTAAACATCGTGAGGAAACCTGGACTTATAATTTCTAATTATAAGTTTGAAATCGCTAACCCGCATTCAGCAAGCGTGGTGATTAATGCTCAAACCTTCTCTGTGTGAGAAGAGGCCTTTGCTCAGCAGTGGGCACTTATAGGCTGATGATGATGATGATGAATAATATAATTATGTATTAATGCAGGAGTACTTCAAGGACTTGACCAATCCAGCGTTCACTACGTATTTGGCGCTGGTACACACCAGATTCTCCACCAATACTTTCCCGAGTTGGGAGAGGGCACATCCATTGAGGTAATTATAGTATACAATAATATAAGTTTTTTTTAAAAGTGTTTGAAACAGTCTTACATCCAGTTGCAACTTTGTAAAAGCCTGTGCATTGTATTGATGGTTCTTTTTTTATATATTCCAGAGTCCTCGCTCACAATGGAGAGATCAATACGTTGCGAGGTAACGTCAACCTCATGAAGGCTCGTGAAGGTGTCATGAAGAGCGAGATTTTTGGCGATGGTAAGTCTATCTATAGAAAAATCTAACTTGTCTGCTATATGAATAATTTAAAACCATTTGTCGTACTTAATATACATACCTATATCCCTAGAATAAAAACCTATGTAAAATTTTAGGGAAAATAATTTGTAATATTAACGCTTTTGTTTCTTGAAATAATGTAGGTATTTTATGAGATTAAACTAAAATAAACCATAACACACATATCTTTAAAGCACAATCTTCCTAACAACTTCAATTCCATTCACAGATCTGAAAAAGCTCTACCCAGTAGTAGAACCGAATCTTTCTGACTCTGGTTCCGCTGACTGTGTTCTCGAGTTCCTTCTCCATGCTGGCCAGCGATCCTTACCTGAAGCGGTGATGACTATGGTACCTGAGGCTTGGCAGAATGACGTCACCATGCCTAAGGAGAAGAGGGACTATTATCAGTGGGCCTCCTCTTGCATGGAGCCTTGGGATGGACCTGCACTCGTGTCTTTTACTGATGGACGCTATATTGGTAAGTTGGATATACGATTCTGGAATTTATTAGGTGAAGAGAGATGGTGTTGCATAGCATGTGGGATACTATTGTCTTTGTCTACCGCAATGGAAAACAGAGATGTACATATTTATGGTTTTTATGGGATAGGTAGACAAAAACAAGTAGACGGATTGCTTGATAGTAAGCAATTTGTGCTGTCCATGGACACCCAAAATATCGACAACTTCCAAGTGCGTTGCCGGCCATTTGGTAGTTAGGGATTTGAGGATTCAGCCTTTTGGAAAGGGGAGGGAAAACAACGTGCAAAAAGTCAAGGTGTAATGAAGTTCTAGTTAAGAAAGAATTGATGAACTTTATTTATCCCGTAGTTATTAAGTAAAAACTCGTCACATTTGAAACGCCTGCTATAGCTGTAAAATTGATATAATTTATAAACTTATTTTGAGTGCTATACTTTTAATTCCAGGCGCCATTTTGGATAGAAACGGCTTGCGTCCCTCCCGGTTCTACGTGACCAGTGAGAACGTGCTAGTCATGGCTTCGGAAGTCGGAGTGTATGATGTTGATCCTGAGAAGGTCATACTCAAGGTGAGATAATGTTTATTGTATTCTATAAAATTCACAAACTTCACTATTAACTCCAATCTCTTTATCAACAATATATTTATCATGCATACATGTCAGCTTACATATCATATTATTTTGTTCTTTGTAAAAGTTTTAGGTTAAATGTATATTGAAGAGATATGTCAATTGTGTATAGATATTGTTTAGATCATTTTTTTTAAATCTTTGCCTCACATTAGGATTTTCTCCTGTGCGTGGTGCGGGTGCGTTCACAAACAAACAATAAATACACATCTTCCGGAACAACAATTTGTCGATCACACAAGGAGTTGTTCAGTGCGGAAACCCTACCATAGATCAGAACAAATCTTATACTGGGCGCCTCTAGAACCACTTGGCCTCACTCAACCCATAGTGCCATTTAAAAATACAAAATTTATTTTCATCCCTACTATACCCATAGCTTCTTTAATATCGCAGCTCTGATCGTAATCACAGTGATTGATAATTAATGTTAATTCCAGAGTCGTCTCAAACCCGGTCGTATGTTGTTGGTGGATACCGTTGAGAAGAAATTGGTACAGGACGCTGAACTCAAGATGGAGATTGCACGCAGCCGACCTCACTCCGAATGGCTTAGAGACAAGGTAAAATTAAATTATAGCCTTTATTACCATTACATACAAATTTTATTCTCTCATTAATACCATATTGTCATTGTGTACGTGACCTTTCTTGGCGTATTTGTTCAAATATTCGTTTGATTTGGATATTAGAAGATGAACTCTATCCCTTGTAGTGTAAAGAACAATAAAATTTATTAGATGTGTAGTTGGGTAGTTTCTTCATTTAAAAACAAATTATGTCAACTTACACAATTCTCGTCCACCAGTCTAATACAAGAGAAATAAGCTTGCTATTGGACGTAGAGGATGACCGCAGGATGACGATCAAAACTATGATACGTGCTATTTCATATGTTTTTGACAATTAGAAAAAGTAAAAAGTGACTAGTTGTAAACCTGCGAACTACCCAATTCGATCTCATTAATCTAAAGTATACTTTATGAGAGTACATAGAGTTCATTTTCACATAACAAAACTCGAAAATTTGTAACATGTACGTCAAATGTTGGCCGTATTATTATACAAACACGTAAGCTAACTAAAGTTTCTCTTTTTCTATGCATTACCGTACGTGGGGATAACATTGTTACATATAATCAGATGGTGAGTTTGGTTAGACGCATGGAAAGTGAAGAATTTTCTAAATTGCTACATAATTTATTATTCACTCAATGCATAAGGCAAGGTCTTCTAACCGGACCTTGTCTTATACAACCGAGGGACAGTCTAACCAAAAGGAATACGAATATCGTTTCAGAATTATTGTGTATAAGTAATCACAAAAGTATTTAAAAGTTCAGACTATGAATAAGGCAAAGTCAAATCAAATCAATCAAATTAATCCTGAATCCTAATAAAAGAAATATATATGTATAAAAATATGGTTGTAATTTCGGACGCCTTATAATAACACTATTGTGGTTACTTTTCAACAAGAAATACGCGTTATTTAATCAGCAAAGGAAATGCATGTTTAAATATAAAGACAGCTTAATCTAACATTGAGTTCATGTTTTACGTTTTGTTAAACAATATTCAACCTTAAATCCACGACTGAAAGGACCAATACGGACGTGTCAGCTTTATACGTTTTCACAATTTCTTCGTGAGGCTTTTTAGGTATATTTTAGTTGTTGTAGTAGTTATAGTCAGGCAAAACTAAACATTAAAATCGTGTGAAATATTTTAAAGGATGTTTTTGTACCATTTCCATCACTATAATATTTTTTTAATAGGTTTCTTTTAGAATTTCCGCCTTGAGCAAGCGTGGTGTAAATATCAAATCATTTATTTTAATTAGACTACATAGGCATTTATGAATTTCAAACCTCCTCAAGTGAAGGTATTTGGAGATTTTGCTCATTTCTCCTCCCAGTAAGACAGAAATGGGCTGATGATGAAGAATAAAAACTTATAGCGTACTTAAAACATCCCTTAAGATATTCTACAACCTAAACCTATCACCTAATATTGCACACACACTAACCTAAAACAATTACAATTCTAGATAACAATGGAAGATATACACAAGTCGGTAGCCTCCGACAACAGTACCGTAGTGTCGAATGGTACGAACGGTCACGCTAACGGAGTGATCACGGGGCTGGCTGACAAGAGGCTCAGCTTGTTCGGATACACTATCGAATCTATCAACATGTTGCTACTGCCTATGATACAGAACAAGTAAGTGTTTTAATTCATCAAAAGCCATGATTGTGGTAATAAAGCATTTATTGTGTCTCATATTACCACATTTAAATGAAATATCTAAAATCTATACTAATATTATAAAGAGGTAAAATTTGTAAGTTTGTATGTAGGGGCTAATCTTTGGAACCAAAATTCTTTCACTGATAGATAGCTTCAATGTTCCTGAGTGCTATAGGCTATAAAACATCACGCTAAGATTAAATGGAGCCATGCAGCGGGTGAACCGTGCGAGAGTAGCTAGTAATATCTTTAAAGTTTATGGTACAATATATGATAAGTTGAATTTTTGTTTTTAATACTTTTTTACTTTAACATCATCTATCGAGCTAACTTAACTTTTCTATATTATATTATTCAATGTATTGCAATATAATTAGTATATGGTCTGTAATTGATATTGGTCGCATAACAGTACAGAGATTTAAAACCTCTTTCCACTCCCCTCTGAATGAAATATTAACTAGACCTTTAGTAGTGTAATATTTTGTAAATCATAATTCATGCGTCTCTGTTCTATTGTTATTGTATCAAAAATGTTAACAAAATTTACTTGATTTCCAGAAAAGAAGCTTTGGGCAGCATGGGTAACGATGCGCCTCTGGCTTGCCTCTCACAGTTCCAGCCATTGCCATATGAATACTTCAAGCAACTGTTTGCCCAGGTCACGAACCCACCTATTGATCCATTCAGGTAATTTTTCATATATCTAAAAAAAAACTCAGACGTCTTGAAAAAAAAAATTGGTCCATACTAACTTCGATTAGATTCGTCATTCATGCAGATTAATTACTTAACATCTTACGCCTTAATGAATTAATATGAAAAATTTTATATGATAACTAAGCTATTTTCCTCTATTGCCTTTTACGGTTACTCTGAAAAACGGAGCACAATAGGGACGATGACTAAAAAATAATAATTAGTCCATCTTTTAGAACGCCAGAAAATAGTAGATACGTATTTTTTCTTTTGCTTCTAAAACTTAAAATAACAGAGTTACAGAGCGGCGAAAGTTCGGTCTACGTCATTATTCCGTAAAAAAATTACGAAAGAGTGACGTCACGAACCCCTACTCCTGAATTAAAATGTGCTATACCTTTGTCAATATGATTCGTACGGACAAATAAAAAATACGTATTGAGTATTTTTATATAATCTAACTGACGGACTAATTAGAATCTTGTAGTTTTAACCCCGGAGACATCCCTATTCAATTTCATAAACAAATACCATGTCATTTCTAAAAAAATGGCTATTAAGATGGATTCTACGTATATTCATTGAATTTATTACAGGGAGAAGATAGTAATGTCTTTGCTATGCCCGATCGGGCCGGCCCCCAACATCTTGCAGCCTAGTGCGGAGTTCGTGCACCGACTGTTCCTGCCGCAGCCCATCCTGTCGCTGCCTGACCTACATGCTTTGAAGCATACCACGCATCGAGGCTGGAAGGTACTACATCCTTATAACTATACTTTTTATGGTATAGAGTAGCAAACGAAAACGGCTCACGAAAGTTTTTTTGTGTACCTAATAGGTAGACGATAAATGAAATGAGAATAAGAGGACAATACCTACCTACATATCTTTTTCACACAGAATTTGCCTTATAGTTAACTAAAAGCTCGCCCTGTTTCGAAAAAAAAATTTCAAAAATTTTCTTTCATAAGAACCTTCTCCTTATAATAACACACATAAAAAAGAATCAGTAGAATTGGTCCAGGCGTTATTGAGTTATGCGCTTACCAACATATTTTGCGATCCATTTTTATATATATAAATACAGGAGCTAAGCGCTTTTGGCGGGTTTATCAATATTGTGAAATAGTGTACATTGTAACACTTCTCTGACTGACTGGTAGAGGATGCCTTTTGGCATTAAGTTCGCTTTTGTATGTATTACATAAAGTGTTAAATAAATTAACATATGTACCAATGGATCAATATGAATTTGATTAACACGGTATGTGTTGGCATCTACATCTTACGAGCTGACGGATTACCTGATGGTAAGCAATCAGTGCCATCCATTGTCACTCGTAACAACGAAGGAGTAATGAGTGCGTTGTCGATCTTTTGAGGTTTTAGAGTATTGTGTAGGGGACGGATTGGGCGTTCGGTAACTATCGTATCGTAAATCGTATCTAAGTTGAAAATATTATTTCCACAGACAAAAGTAATAGACTGCACGATCGAGTTGTCGGAGGGCCCGGCGGGGCTGGAGCCGGCCTTGAACCGCATCGCGGGCGAGGCGCACGCGGCGGCCGCCTGCGGGTACCAGCTGCTCGTACTGACGGACCGCGCCGCCGGACCCACCAGGGTACCCGTCAGCACGCTGCTCGCGCTCGGTAACCTACTAACCTATATTATCCTGTCTTTTTTAAACCCTTTCAGACAAATCTATACTAATATTATAAAGAGATAGTAAGTTTGTATTTTTAAGTGAAACACCACCACTCTTAGAATTGGGCCGTTTTCTCTCTTTGCGCGGGAAAATTTTATTAATCTGTCACAGTTGACAGATGACAACGTCAACACGGCAGCTAGTGTTGCCGAGACCACAGATTAAATTAGTGACGTTCATTTAGTTGATTTTCGGCGTCTAACATTATGTAAGGAGTAATTTTTGGAACCACTGGTCGAATTGCCAAAAATATTTCACTGATAGATAGCTGCAACGTTCCTGAGTGCCATAGGCGGGAGTATAAAGCGAGAGATAAAACATAAGATAAACTTATACTGCACGGTTGGCCCAGTAGCTAGCCAACTAGTTTGCCACGCAACATATCGCAGGGTCGATTCCCTCACGAAACAACTCTTTGTGTGATCCACAAATTGTTGTTTCAAATCTGGGTGTGATGCGTGTGTGAAATTGTATATTTGTAAACGCATTCACGACACAGGAGCTTATCCTAGTGTAGAGCAAAGTTTTTTTTAAAGACTGTATATGGGATTCATTAACTGTCGAATATTAAAGACACTTTTAAATAACAGTCTGGCACTATTGCAGGAGCTGTCCATCATCACTTGATTGAAACTCGTCAGCGTATGAAGGTCGGCATCATATTGGAGACCGCTGAAGCGAGAGAAGTCCACCATATGTGTGTGCTACTAGGTAAGTCAGGCAACCAACTAATGATTGTATTTATAATTCTTCCAAGACTAAGCGATTGTCCCTGGCTTCAATACATACTTAAAACTATACGACGAAGGGAATACCAATTTTATAAAATCTTTTTTGTCACCAGGTTACGGTGCAGACGCGATCTGTCCATACCTAGCTTTCGAACTAGCATTCTCTCTTCGTAACGACCATATTCTGGACCCTAACCTCACAGACGATGATATCTACAAGGCTTATCAAGGAGCTATTGAGACTGGTCTGGCCAAGGTTATGGCGAAAATGGGCATCAGTACTCTACAGTCTTACAAGAGTGCTCAAATCTTCGAGGCCGTTGGATTATGTGAGGAGGTCATTGACAAGTGTTTCAAGGGCACCCAGTCTAGAATTGGTAAGTGGTTGTCATGTGTTTTGGTATTTAAGTGGAGGGTTATAAAGCTCAATTTTCAGTAAATTATATAGTATAGGTAAAGTCGTTGTATTGTGTTTTGATCTTTAAATATGTGGGTAATGAAGTTCAAATTCAATTAGTTATAGTTTACTACATCTATTTTATATCTTGTTTATGTTGAAGTTGTTAAAATAGAAGTCTTTTGGTAATTAATTTAAGATTGAAATCAGTTTGTCAAAAAACTTGTAATCGTCATTATACTGTCTTGTTCATTCTTCAGGCGGCGTCAACTTTGAAATTCTCTCAAAGGAGATATTTGACAGACATTCATTGACCTACGGAGATGTTCAAGATGCACTGGTTCTAAGGTAAATAATGCTGAACACCAACAAAATCAAAATGTAAGGCAAAACATGAGAAAATGTGTAATAATAATTATTATTATTCTAGAAATCCCGGTAACTACCACTGGCGCGCTGGTGGTGAGAAGCATATCAACGACCCGATGTCTATCGCTAATCTACAAGAAGCTGCTGTCAACAAAAGCGCATCTGCTTATGATAAATACAGGTAACATACTCTTTGTATACAAAAGCTTATTTTAACAATAGAGAAGGTCAGTTAAATAATACATCTAAATAAATTAATATGTACAATCAATTTGAACTTATCAAAAGAAGAGAGTTCTATCATATCTTGCTATTGCTCTCTTCATAAATTCCAATTTAAATGGCATTAGCTGTCTACTCAAAATCTGTTTGAAGAATAGGTACATATATACCTCTGAGATCAAAGGTACTATACAAACAAGCAAAGCTGCTAGTAAAAAAACTTTCCGTATAAATAGCTGCTAGTAACAATCAGTCCAAAACTTATTTTTAATTTCCCTAGGGAGAGTGCTTTGGAGTCGATCAGAGCATGTACTCTACGTGGTCAACTGGAGCTCGTGAAGCTGGACGAGCCCATTCCATTGAGTGAAGTGGAACCTGCCTCTGAAATTGTCAAACGATTCGCCACAGGTACATGTTCATCTGTAATACCACGATATTTATACCTTACCTTAATCACGCAATACTAGGAACACGCATAATTTTGGTTTAAGTTCCTTACTCTACCCGTTAACAATGCAGCTAATTCAAATTTATGGACCCCAGTGTGCCTCGAAATTAATCGGGCATCCATAAAATATATTATATGAGTAATCCAAGCAAACATTAGTTGCTCTCGCGACAGATAGTATATGGGTGACACCACGGGTGACACTAATATATAAATTGCAATTCGTTATTTTTGTACAGGTGCGATGTCCTTCGGTTCTATTTCCTTGGAAGCGCACACTACGCTTGCCATAGCCATGAATCGTATAGGCGGTAAATCCAACACTGGAGAGGGAGGAGAGAATGCTGACAGATATCTCAACCAGGTATAGTATATTTATTATTAAATGAATAACAGTCAAAGCTATAAAACTAAAACAGTAAAGGCCGTTGCATTGTAATTTTGTCTTCATCATCAAATTGTAGTGTTATGCGGCTTTATTAGTCATGCCTAAAAGCCCAGATTAATCTTAAAGCTGATTGAACGTCTAACTAATTGGTCCTCATATTATATACATATATAATAATGTGGATATAATAATATAGGTATTCATTCACCAATAATTTCGATGTTTCTAGCTACCTGTTTACATCATCGTCTCAAAAGGTTGATATTAAAACTTATATAATAATCCTAGGACCCCGACTACAACAAGCGTTCAGCCATCAAGCAGGTAGCGTCGGGTCGGTTCGGAGTGACTGCCTCGTACCTGGCACACGCGGATGATTTGCAGATCAAAATGGCGCAGGGAGCCAAGCCTGGAGAAGGTGGTGAACTTCCAGGTACGTAATGTTTATTTTTTATCTTAAAAGTCAGCAAACGCTTAAAGTTTAATCAGTAAGAAATCAACGCCACCCATAGACACCAGCAACGGAGGAGTAACTAGTGCGTTGTCGACCTTTTAGAGATTAGATTTGGAGATTTAGGAATCGGGGAGAGGAAGGGTTGGTGTCTCCGGTAATCTCACTCACACGACGAAACACAACGCTGTGGTTGTTTCACACCGGTTTTCTGTGAGGCCGCGGTATCACTCCGGTCGAACCGACCCATTCTTGCCGAAGCATCGCTCTCCCACACTTAAATCGTTTAAACACTTCATAATGTTTTGATCTCTTGCTTTCAGGTTACAAAGTGACAGAAGACATAGCAAAGACCCGTTGTTCAGTACCGGGAGTCGGCCTGATCTCCCCGCCGCCTCATCACGACATCTACTCCATTGAGGACCTGGCAGAGCTTATTTATGACCTAAAAGCGGCTAATCCTAGAGCCAGAATCTCCGTCAAACTTGTGTCTGAAGTCGGTGTTGGAGTTGTCGCTTCGGGAGTGGCTAAGGTAGGTTTTTAGAATCTAAAACTAAAACAAAAAAGTGATTTTTTTGTTTTTGAAGTTCATAGTGATATTAGTTGGTTAAAAAAGAATCCTAAACACTTCAGTAAATCGATTATTATTGACTTAGTGTTATGTTCAGTCAAACAATTTTAATAAAATTCAAAGAATTCTTATAAGATCGGTTATTAAAATCCTAGTTATGTAAGAGTTCTGATAAGAAATGATCCCATTACTAAGAACTTTCATTTTGATATCTCTTAATTGTCTAAGCAATAGGAGGCTAATTCCTAGGTACTATTAACCACGGACGGTATTGCGGGTTTAGAAGGAACGAATTGTTTTAAGTCAGTAAGAGTCTTACATTGCCTTTCGCCCCACCCTCGGGCAGGAGAAACCAAAGGATTTATCCCTCATAAAAATCATAACTTATCTTAAAAAATATTATGAGTATTCTTCGTCTATCATAGTGACCGTATATCTCACCACACATTTCCTCTACAGGGTAAAGCAGAGCACATAGTGATCTCCGGCCACGACGGAGGCACTGGTGCCAGCTCGTGGACCGGTATCAAGAGTGCCGGGCTGCCCTGGGAACTGGGAGTCGCGGAGACACATCAAGTGCTCGTTCTTAACGACTTGAGATCTAGGTATGTAAATCACGTTTTACACGTAGACAGAGAGAGAAAGAACAATGTTTCTCCCTTATGTTTTGCACATAAAAAGCTAGTGACACACTAGCTTTTTATGTACCTACATCCACACACAAAAAGGTTTGTCTTCAAGAGGGTGACTGGATGTCCAGTAACGTCACTCACACGACGAAACCTATTGTTACAGGTCGGTTTTCTGTGAGACCGTCATATGCTTCAGATGAAGCCGTCGTTCTCATTTCAACAATTATTCTTATTACAGAGTGGTTGTCCAAGCTGACGGTCAGATCAGAACAGGCTTCGACGTGATGGTCGCTGCACTCCTCGGCGCTGACGAGTTCGGATTCAGTACTGCACCACTTATTGCTTTGGGTAAGTTTTAAAAACATGACTGCTGAAAGAGTAGGTTTTTGTGGATATGTCGAAATTGGAATTTCTATTTATTACATTAATAAGAATTTTTAAAACTTGTAAAACTTCTTGCATTATTGTTTTATTGGTAGTCGTATTGTACATAACTATCGATTAATAAATTTTCTGCACAATCATCGGGTAGTGAAATTCATTCTCTTGATAGTATCGTCATTAATTCTTTCTTCTATCCTCTAAGGTTGTACGATGATGAGGAAATGTCATCTGAACACGTGCCCCGTGGGTATTGCCACACAGGACCCGGTACTGAGGAAGAAGTTCGCGGGCAAACCTGAACATGTCGTCAACTACCTGTTCATGCTTGCTGAGGAGGTATGTGTTATTTTACTACTTAATACCATGAAAATAGTTGCCATAATGATTACGTCTACAGTTACAATTACTATATCAAGAGGTTTCAAAAAATAAGTTCATTTACAACAAAAAAAAATTGTCTCAGGGTTCCGTTCGAACTCGAAACGAGACGGGCATTCCCAAAATCAAAGTCGTGACTTAGCCACATTAACATGATCTAGTACTTTATTCATATTAGAAACAAGAATCTTTTTCATTCATCAAAATTATTTTAAACTATTTGAATCCTAGAAGCACTGATTCAACACTTATTTTCATTTTAATTGTTCCCTTTTGCTAGGTACGTCAACATATGGCGGAGGTAGGAGTGCGTCGCTTCCAGGACCTGATCGGTCGCACCGACCTTCTCAAAGTGAGAGAGAACAACGAGAATCCCAAAGCCAGGATGCTGAACCTCAGCCTTATTCTGAAGAACGCGCTGCACATGCGACCCGGTGTCAATATCATCGGAGGATCTAAGTCACAAGTAAGATATTATAATTTTTATAGTAGACCTTGCATTCTGATCGGCGAATGATTGATAAATTTGAATTTCTTTCCTATGTGGATTTTGTAAATGACTCTCAAAATTTGGTATTATTTATTGATAATTTAGTCTGTGAAATCTAAATCGAAATTTATATTAATGAGAAACATGAATAGCTAGACTACCATCTTGCCGATAAAATTGAGTTTGCGAGAAAAATCTTTTAGTTTGAACAAAGTGCATAGAGTTCTTTTTGTCTAAAATATTTTTGTCATTTACTCATTTTGGTCAATGGGCTTAAGTATTGTCAGAATACTTTCTAAATACCACTATCAATGTTTGTTTGCAGGACTTCCAGCTTGAGAAGCGTCTAGACAACCAGCTGATTGAGCAATGCAGCAGTCTACTGGATGGTACTGCAGACCATGTCGACATCAGCATGAAGATCACCAACGAGGACCGCGCCTTCACATCCACACTCTCTTACCATATTGCCATGTTAGTATCACACACTTCACTGCATTTTATACATCTTTATATACATAATTCTGCTGTACGTGTTTATGTCATTGGATTCCTCAACTTGCTTGGCCAATTTAAATGATTTTTTCAGTATGCATTTGAGTAGCACCCTAGGTTGTTTAGAATCACAAATCAGGCTGGCAGGCTCTGATTGCTTGAAAAAGCATATGATCGTGGAAACGGCCCTAACGATTTCGCTCAAATTTGATATGTGGGATTTTTCGGGGATGAGAAATCGTTAACTGCCCTAAACTATCTTCATCAAAAGGTCATATTTCAGAACTATGAGATAGACAATATATTGAACAAAGTTTACACACAAAGAAGGCTCCATCTTCACTGTAAATCCCTGTTTATCTTTGCTCATGATTTATATTTTTATCTATTTTACACGAATTTCGTAAATCATTGTATTTTTATCTTTGCATTTAAAGTTGTGCCTTACCTTTCAATAATAATCTGAATTACAGGAAATGGGGCGACGACGGTCTCCCAGACGGCAAGTCATTGAACATCTCGCTGACTGGCTCGGCCGGGCAGAGCTTCTGTGCTTTCCTGTCCAAGGGCATCACCGTCACACTCGAGGGAGACGCTAACGACTACGTCGGTAAGTAATTACAATGCGTTATACTCAGGCAGCATAACTGTCTAGTTGGTGTCTGCCGTTGATCATGATTTTGGAGTGAGGATCTGGTAAATCTCATATCTAAAACATTTTTGGTTTCTTGTTTTAGGCAAGGGCTTGTCCGGTGGTAAAGTTATTATCTACCCACCTAAGGCGTCGCCGTTCGAGTCCCACTTGAACGTTATTGTTGGAAATGTCTGTCTGTATGGAGCTACATCTGGACGGGCTTATTTCAGGTCAGTATTTACGCTTTAGCTGAGTATTACAAAATAATACGTATTAGTTTTGTATGTTACTACCTAACTTAGACAAGAAAATAACTTAAAAGTTGTAAATGATTAGTATATCTGCCTGATATTGCACGATTGGAAATAGATTTCCAAAGTCTAAATAATTGCATTTAAAAGCCGAGTTAAAATTGTCTATTAATGGTATTGTACACAGAGGTATAGCGTCAGAGCGCTTCTGCGTCCGCAACAGTGGTTGCGTGGCTGTAGTGGAGGGGGTGGGGGACCACGGCTGCGAGTACATGACGGCAGGAGTCGCGCTCATCTTGGGGCTCACCGGCAGGAACTTCGCCGCCGGCATGAGCGGTGAGACATTCTTACTATTATACCAAATAGATGGAAGCTAGTGTTAGACCTCTTCAGCCGGGGTTGCGGGAAAAGCGCAATGAGTCACCGTGGCCTCAGCCCAAAGCAGGAGAAGGAACGGGGGTGTTTTAAGTCAGTAAGAGTCTGACACTCCCTTACGCCCGACCCTAGGCGGGAGAAGTCATTCCATGATTTTCCCCTCACAAAAATATCTCGCTTTTTCGACTAATAGGGAATGAGCTTGTGTCAACCATTTGTCGTAAAATTTTTAACAGCTATTATGTTCGGACAAACTAGCTTCTTGCGTAATCAAATTAGAAGGAAGATATAGTGGTCGTGGTGGCCCGGAGGTTAAGGAGCCCGCTTCTCATGTATGAGGGCGTGGGTTCGAAACTTGGCAAGTACCAATATGACTTTTTCCGAGTTATATGTACTTTCTATGATTATTTAGACACCACCGACATACGGTGAAGGTAAACATCGTGAGGAAACCTGGACTTATAATTTCTAATTATAAGTTTGAAATCGCCAACCCGCATTGAGCAAGCGTGGTGATTAATGCTCTAACCTTCTCCGTATGAGAAGAGGCCTTTGCTCAGCAGTGGGCACTTATAGGCTGATGATGATGATGATGATGATAGTGGAATCATGTCTTTTTATCATCAGCTTGAAGGCACCACAAAACCCTTCGAAGGTTTGCTTTTAACTCCTTGGTTTTATTCATAGATCCTATATGCAATATTAATAATAAAATTTTAGGTGGTATCGCATACGTGTACGACATCGACGGTTCTTTCTCCGGCAAATGCAACCACGAGATGGTGGAACTATTGCCCCTGGAGTTGCAGGATGACCTGGATTACGTGGAGCAACTGTTGAAGGAGTTCCACGAGTACACCGGGTAAATTATTTAAGTTATATTTCCCAAAAACTCTTTAGTTAGTGTAATAAGCTACCAATTCACGTTTTTATGAACTAAAGATTGCGTCATAGAAAAATAAGAAATATTTGTCAATTATACATCTTAACAAAAACCAGTCTCAGTATTAAACAGTCTTTTTATAAAAGGCTAACATATTGAAGACCCTGATATAATTTTAAAAAGCACTCATTTCTTTCTGAATCTCTTTAATTTACCATTCCATACCTTCCATAACTAGTTCGCCTGCACAGTTAACACAGTGGCTAGTCAACCGGTACAAATCATTGATTTTATAATAAAGTCAATATATTTATTTTTTGCAGCTCACTAATCGCAGAAGAATTCCTAAAAACATGGCCAGAGCCTGCCAAGAAATTCATTAAGGTATTCCCGTATGAATACCAGCGTGCGTTAAAGACGTTGGCAGTGAAACAGCCCAGCCAGCCCAAGGTGGAAGCTAATGGCAAGTCAGAGAATGGAGTACTAGATATAGAGGAGACTGTCAGAGATGTCGAGCTGGAGACCAAGAATCTGGAAAAGATTCTGGATAAAACTAGGTGAGTGCATGTTATAGACGATGGTATAGGTATTCAATAAATGAAAACTTGTAAATGTGTGCTTAGGTTATTTAAAGACAAATTTTGTTTCAAGCAGTTCTTCAACAGAAAAAGAGGGGTGTTATAAGTTTGACGTGTCTGTCTGTCTGTCTCTCTTTGGTATGTGGGAGCCTGAAAGGATGAAGCGATTTCAATTTAGTTTTTATTTTTGTATTAAAGGTGACTTACTTGCGAGTCGTGTTCTTAAACATGTTTGATGAAAATAGGTTGAGCCGTTTAGAAGTTATGGGGGTGTAAGTGGGGAAGGGTGGAAAAATTTAGTGGTTCCCCAGTGCTTGTTTTTGTCATTTTTTACTTTTGAAAGAGATTTTAGTTTTTTTGTCGGGGGTTTTAAATTTCTGATTTTTTTATACTTTGTTCAACATTAAACACTTGGATGAGACGATCACTAGCTTAATGATTTAAGAGTGACTATAACAAATCGTCCCTGAATTTGACAGAGGCTTCATGAAGTACCCGCGCGAGACGAGCATGTACCGTCCGGCGGAGAAGCGCGTGCGGGACTGGGACGAGATCTACAACGGGGCGGTGACGCGGCGCGGCGTCCGCGCGCAGGCGGCGCGCTGCATGGAGTGCGGCGTGCCCTTCTGCCAGTCGCAGCACGGCTGCCCGCTCGGCAACATCGTGCCCAAGTGGAACGACCTCGTCTTCCGCGCCGACTGGCGCCAGGCGCTCAGCCAGCTGCTGCAGACCAACAACTTCCCCGGTAACTCACTCGCCCTCACTCTCTCACGTCCTTACTGTCGTAAGGCCCCAAAAAAACTATCAGACCACAGTAGATGGGGCCTATAGGGCTTTAGCCTATATCCAACCGGGGTCGCGGATGCAACCATAAAATGTACCTCAGCCAGGGAATGGACTAAGCTACCCCAGCTTATGATAACAAAGACGAATAATCAAATGACTTTCCTTAAAAAAAAATTATGTCCGTAAGGATTTAGGAGCCACATCAGATTTTTAAAATCTGATCTTACCATTATTCAGCAGCAATGTAGCTTATTTTGCAGCACAATTTTAGATTTAGCAGCAAAATATATCACTAGTTATTTTAATGCAAGAGTGGCTCCTCAATCTAAACATCTGAATTGAGGAGCCACCTGGAATTTGTTAAGTAATAGGTGAATATTTATGAAAATGTTTTATCATTTAGTAGCAATTTTGCATATTACCGTCAAAAAATTTAGCTTCTGTAGCGCTAAAATGAAAAAAAAATACGATACTTTTAATATGGCTCCTCAATCTAAACTCAAGAGGTGAATTTCTATTGGATTTGAGCGAACAATTAATATATTCGACATATTGATCATTTAGCAGGTGTTGTGTTTGTTTTTGCAGTAAAGAAGTAAAATAGTAAAACAGAGTAAATTTTGTATATGAACGCATTTTCTTTGGCTCCTCAATCCTGACGTTCTAATTATATATGTTTGACTGTAGCCACCTAAGTCTCAACGGAATCTAAAGCCAGAGATACTAACATTTAGCAGAAATGTCTGCTAAATATGTCTGCACAGTTCAGCAATGTATATATTTTGGATTCTGAAAAAACAATACTTAATTCTTGTCTTGTAAACGTCAGTCTTGTTACGGACATAAAAAATTGTCGGTAGTTTTCGAAGAACACACTGTCCATAATCTAACACACACAACAAAAAATATTATTACTTCTTCAATACAGCGACTTAGTATATTTGTAAACTTATAAAATTTTTACTGAGTATTATTTTGTTTTTCGTTTGACAGAGTTCACGGGTCGTGTATGCCCGGCCCCGTGCGAGGGAGCTTGTGTGTTGGGTATCTCGGAGCCCCCCGTCACCATCAAGAACATCGAGTGCGCTATCATTGACCATGCATTTGAGAGCGGCTGGATACAGCCTGAGGTACGTACCTACACTATTTAAATTCATCACCATTAAAAACTTACTAGGACATCAAAAAGGACAAACGTTCTCTCGTTTGAGCTTAAGCTTTCGTGAGGCTTATTAAATTATGTAATGAATATAGCCTCCTTGTGTGGCTTGAAACTAGTCGAATTCCTCATCAAACTGTTACACCGTTAAATATAATAATTAATCAATTAACGTTATACAATAAATAGCAATAGACATCTGGACGATATATTATTAGCTCTTGGATTTCGAGTTAAACTCTTTATCTAAGTTCCTTTCTAGTTTCCTTATGCGGAATTTGTTGTGTGTTCTAGAACATAACATGAGCTGATTCAATGATTTATTTACAGATCCCTACACACAGGAATGGGAAGACAGTAGCTGTTGTAGGATCAGGACCCGCGGGTTTGGCGTGCGCACATCAACTTAACAAGGTAATAAAGAGGAACATTAGTAGTGCTATCGTCTCTAATCAGCGCTATTGGCTTGAAAAGTTGGTATGCTTGTTCTTTAGCATAGAGAATATAGATAATGGTAAATGGTTGACTATTTGAATTTAACCACAAAGGTTTATTTTAGCTTTTATGAGGGACTTGTGTTGTTATTAATGTGTCGATCCAACTACCAATTTTCGTCAAAACTATTCAGTATTTTTTTTTTTATTTCGTAATGTGCTGACATTTGTCCGCTATCACTACTTGTGATAAATGATAATGCAACTTACAATGAAACACCCATAAGCAACCTATTCGCTCGGCCGTTCGACTTCGCAAAAAAATCTTCGAATTCTTTTATAGACAACGTATCAAATATCCATCCATACTTACACAATTTATCTATTCCAGGCGGGCTACACGGTGACAGTATTTGAACGTAACGACCGTCCGGGCGGTCTGTTGCAGTACGGCATCCCCACTATGAAGCTTAGCAAGGAGGTCGTCGCGCGGAGGATCAAGCTCATGACGGCTGAGGGCATCTCATTCAAGTGCAATGTTGACGTTGGACGGGACATCTCTGCTAGTGATTTGGCTAATGAGTAAGTATTGTTTATATGTGAAAAAGGTGTAGAGCTAATACTAATAATTATCGAAAAGAGAAATATATGTGTATTTAAGAAATATTTAAATTGATACAGTATGAATTAATCCATCATTACATTATTAAGTGTTTGCATCAATTTATGTAAGAAAATCTTTTCTCTGGACTTGAATAGTTGCAGTTGCACCGTGATTTATTCCTTTAAACAGCATAAAATGAGAAATGGCCTCAAGTTTCTTACTTAAATATCTCTAGAATGAAAACCATACAACCAAAATACATAATTTCAATTTTACACAGCCTAACATCTAGCTTATTTTCCTCTTAGATACAACGCCCTAGTCCTCTGCATGGGCGCGACATGGCCGCGCGACTTGCCCCTGAAAGGCCGTCAGCTGAACGGCATCCACTTCGCCATGGAGTTCCTGGAGAGCTGGCAGAAGAAACAGATGGGAGCCACCCACCATCACCAGAATAAAGACCATCCTGAGCTCAATGCAAAGGACAAGGACGTACTCATTATTGGAGGCGGTGATACTGGGTGCGTACTATTTTATATACGTGAAATAGCTTGTTTCTTGTTATGTATCTCTTATTAGTCAGTGTATGGGTGGACCCGACCAAATACCGGCGTGGAAAGCTTTTATTGTTTCCATTTCGTAATATAAGAATAATATTTAATGTTTAAAGGTATAATCAAGTAACTGTTTTACGAAAATTCTACTTTATAAGCTAGTAAATAACAAAATGGTATAAACATTTTTATCAAGTGTAGGTAGTAGGTACCGTATTTCTTTTATAGCATGGCATTTCGTATGATATGATATAGGCTTGACGGCGATAATTTATACAAGTTCGTAGCTAACCCAAAGCCGTCTAAATATGGAAGGAAACGCTACGTCGTTATGACTTTTTTTCTATTAAAATAATATAATATTATACTGTCTGTTTCCAGTTGTGACTGCATAGCGACATCGTTACGTCAGGGCGCTAAGAGTATCACGACCTTCGAGATCCTGCCACAGCCTAAACCAACCAGAGGACAGGACAACCCCTGGCCGCAGTGGCCACGAGTTTTCAGGTCAGTTGTATATTGCATTAATAACAAAGATACTTGAATATTATGTCAGTGTCTGAAGGCAGATTAGAATTATTCGTATCTTTAACATTTTTATCATTTATTTATATTTAATACATAGAAACTCTTTAAAGGACATTGCTCTGCTTTCCTTCAGTGTGGGCCCTGGAGCCAAGAGCATCGGAAGTACATGTATTGTAGTCTCTATCATTAGTAAACTTCTATACGATCTTATTTCTATAGCGGACTAGCTGCAGATTATATATATTTAAGAAAGAACCAGATTTTGAGGTTATAATTTAACTCTTATAACGTAATTTTTAAAAACCAAGCTAAATAACTATCACAAAAGCTATTTTTGAACAGTATACCTACCTATGAAACCAGCTATAGGTACCAGTTACCAGCGAAGATGGCGACTGCGACTACTAATATTATTAGTCACGTAAAATACCATTACCCATAGTGATTATAAATTTATAAATATCCCTAAATAAATAAAGAATTAAAAAAAACCATTAAATGTACAATCTGGAATACAGCTTGTCCGTGTTAAAAAATGTGGCAACTTAAATAATAAATAAAAAAAATATGCAGCACTCTCAGGGGAAGCCTGTAATACTTGAGTTGATAAATACCTTTAGCCAATCGAATCAATTATAAATATCAAATAAATATGAAACAAACATAAGTCTGTGATATAAGTTTAATAAAGTCACAAGATATACGTCTTGGTTTTAGAGAAAATTAAAAAGTAGATAAGATTCCAAGAATCTAAACATATATTATACCTCTTTTTGTTCTCATTTAAAACTAAATGTTTGTTCACAGAGTGGACTATGGCCATGAAGAAGTGAAGCTCAAATTCGGAAACGACCCGAGAAAATTCTCCACACTTACCAAAGAGTTTTTGGATGATGGTAAGCTCATTATACAATGATAAATACACTTTTACATTACTTGGAATCCTATTAGTATTTACATAATCTGATTACTTGACATTTCATTCAAGAATATAAATATAGTCGTGTAAACAAGTCTTTTTTATTTAAAAATATTATTGGCTAGTTGTTTTCGTGCAGTTTCACCCACTGCTCCTTCCTTGAGAAATGGAATCATCTACAAAAAGTAATTGTTGCATTTCAACCATTAGTTTAGAGGCAAATTTTTTTGAAAAAAAAAACTACTTTCTCACGTGAATTAACATGCACAGACCAATTCTAGATCCAAGTCGCACTGACGACCATTCTCGGCCAAAGCTTGCATGAAAGCCGACAAATGTTCAGTTAACATTCTAACCACAAAGAACTTAAAGTCCACTGCATTATATAATAGCATAGATTTGACTCTGAAGCTAATATTTTTTTATTCCTACAGGTGAAGGCAATGTTTGCGGCGTGGCTGCAGTGGAAGTGGAATGGACGCGCGGCGCCGGCGGGCGGTGGGAGATGAAGGAGATCCCCGGCACCAACAAGGTGTACAAAGCTGACCTCGTACTGCTCGCCATGGGCTTCCTCGGACCTGAACGATACGTCGCTAACCAGCTTGGTAAGTAGTTCTTATCCTCGAAGGAGTAGGCACAGTATAATCACCTACTTGCTTAGAGATCTTGTCAAACTCAGTCAAAACTAAATAATTCTTTTAAAAAACCACACTTCAATTCATTCAATTTAGACAATACTTAATATTCTAGCTAATTTTGCAAGACTTTCTATGAGATTTTTGCTATTTGATGCGACAAAAACATGAAGTCACTGCACACAGTCACAAAAGAAATTATATTCAATTTGACCGGCTAGTACCATATACATATAATTAGGTTTCTAATGACAATTGTTTCATACACATTCATCTGTCACATATTTAAATTCACCTTAATATTTTGATTCCTTCCTCAGATCTTCCGCTGGACGCTCGAAGCAATGTGGAGACAGAGAAATCGAACATTTACAAGACACCCGTCAGCAATGTATTCGCTGCTGGTGGTATGTATTGTGCACAACTAAACACAACAATAAATAAAGTCAATCTGTTCATGTAGGTACATTATAATATTCACACCTTAAATGTGTGCATATCTGAAATTCCGTCCTATTCTGGTCCAATGGCCTGGCATGACATGGCTCTCCCACTTAGCTAGGTCTGCCTTACGAAGCAACTGATTGATAATAGTTATTTAATCAACCTTTTGTCCACAGACTGTCGCCGCGGCCAATCATTAGTGGTCTGGGCGATATCCGAAGGTAGACAGGCGGCTAGAGCAGTAGACACATACTTGTCTGGCAAATCCAGTTTGCCGGGACCTGGCGGCGTCATATATGACCACTGAACGACACTGTATACACAGTGGTCACCGTGTATTATTACTAGTATACACAATGGACCATAGAAACACATAGGATCAACCTATTTGGAAAAAATCATCAAAAGTCGGGATACGTCCATTATTGCTGGTCAAATGGGGATGGGAAGGTGTCATATTGCTCTAGTAGTCATCGAATAGAGGATGATACTGAGGTCTCTTGGTAACTGATCACAGTTTTAAGACATAATTATCCGGGTTTATTGGTGTCTTCCATCTATTTGGTCCGAGCAAACTATAGGACATTGTGTATAACAGTTGATTAGGTTAGCACAACGTTTCGTGGCTGAAATGTCACTTTATTCGCGTCCATTTTGTGATGATTCGGCGGCTGACGGGCTCTGCATACAAACATAACAAGTCATAAACAACAACAATCGACTTTTTAACCAAACTGCTTTTAAATAACCTCTATAAGATCCATTTTTCCGTGACTCGCTTGTCAGTCGCCCCATATCAAAACACAAAATTAACTGCGTTTGTAGCATTAGGGCGAGGTTAGGCCGCTATAGACGCTTCGTTACCAACGTTAAACAAAACTAGATCTTATATAAACGTAGGAGATTTGAAATTACAATATCAATTAAATCACATCGTATTAAAATTATTTATTTGATAAAACAGATTGAAAATTACGACAATAATGTTTAGGCTGCATTGTTATAATTATTTCGAACAGTTGAGATTAGTTTTTGAAAATATAATTGTTTATATTCTGATGCAGTTTGTTTAAACAAAGTGTCCCTACGTATAAGTTGACGTACATTACATAAATTGTCGAATACTATTTTAGATCTTAATAACAATATATTATGATACATTATATATTATACATACTGTTTGATATAATCATTTTATGTGTAATCACATTCCGTTTTTTAGACTTTTTGGTCGTTATTACGTTTTATAGAGGATTTTCATTAATTATTATTATTGTAAAAATGCTATATCAAACCAAAACACACTATTTGGTTAAGTAAAAATAATAATCATTTAATTTAAATTTACCGTAGAATTTATTTGATTAAAATGTGATGTTAATAAAAAATATTATTTTAATTATTTGATATCAATGTGAACGGACAGTGATCTCTAGTGTCATATAAATTCGATACATTGTTGGTTAAATTATTATTTTATCTGTTTTTAATGTTATTGTTTTACTGTAGATATTAAGAAGCGATCTTCATCCAAGATATCTGAATCATTGCTTGGTTCTTGACACAAAATTAATAGAACAATATTCAAAGATTTTGAATTTAGATCGCTTATTGATGTCGACCATTAGATTGTACAGATTGTAGTCAGTATTTTTATGTAAAATGTATCTTTTGTAACTTAATAACTATTTGTTTAATGTCTCTACAAAAATTCGCTCAGCAAGTCCGACATTTCATTAATAGATTTCCAATTTTCTTTCAGTAGAGATAAGGATTGAAATCTATTGAAGAAGTTTTCGACTTCTGTCGTTATCGTTGTAGGGACTACCAATTCTTCACGGTCTAACAAAAAATAAAGAAAACGGTTTTATTTCTTTTTATGTAATTTAATAGTTAATGATTGTAGTTGCTCACATACATGGAGTTATGTAACATATACTAGAAATAACAGTTTCAATGTCTAACAGCACTGGTTGAACTTAGAGCATTTATTTGATAACAATCATCATGTATTTTCTATTGAGATTAATTTTATATTCATTAGAAGACAAAGATTCTTGTAAACTAGACTCATAACTTCAGTACTACAAAAATAAATTTAAATATTAAAAAAGCATTATCAACAGACCCTCCTGACGCCTCCTCCTCATACGAGAATTTGCGTTCATATACATATAAACAAGAACTTTAATCTTAAAAAAAAAATTCGTGTCACGTGTTTGACCGCGATGGACTCCTAAACTACTAAACCGATTCTAAATTTGATTTGCATTCCGTATGCATTTTGATTCAACTTGAAAGATAGGATAGCTTACATCTCAATTTTTAGTAACAACAATATTATTTACCTTTTAGCAACGCAACGCGTGGGTGGGTCTGCTAGTATTCTACAAAACAAAGTCATTTTTAGGACGCCCAGTCCTTTAATTCTCTATCTCTAACCCTTAATTATACAATACCTAACGTCCCAAAAAGGAGTGCCGATTGCTTACCTTCAGGTGACGCGTCTGCTTTCCGTTCCTTAACCATAAAAGATATCATATAATAAAAAAATTAATGTTGCTAGTTGTAGGTAGAAAGTGCTATAAGTTATGATTTTAGTTTACAGTATAATCCATATTGTCTTCAATGTACTATTAAATATAACACAGATAATTAATATTATGTTACGTGTAGAAGTTCCTACGTAATCGTATAAGTTTAAAAGTCTCTTCATTTAGATATTAGTTTAGTTTATCTTATGGAGTCCTTTAACTAATTTTAGCAGTGATTTATTCTGTAAAAAGCATAAATATTTTGTTATCTAGCCCTTGCATTAACATTATAAATTTACGACTAAGATTCTTTCAAAAAGGGCTAACAATCAGTTTTTTATAGATTTAGGTGCTTATGTAAGCTTAACACAAGTTTTTACCTAAAACTATTCTGTCTGTCTGAAGAGACATTTGTTGAATTGTTTATTCTATACAATATACAATGTGAAACGAAACGTATTTTGAATTGTATAGTTCACTAAAATAACTATATTGTAGAACCGAAACAATGTAATATATAATTTTTTTTAATCGAAATATTTTTATTATGTCATCTTAAGTTTCACAAAATTATTATTTCTAATATTATTTTACTACATTTATTTAATGTTCCTTTGTTATTTTGATTTATTTGGAATAAATATTTTATTTTGATTTTAATCATTTTTTGTTTTTATTTCAATATCCGTTAACATTAAGCCTCCTATATAATTCTTCGTATAGTTAGTTCACATAATTATGTTAATGTCATTATAACATTATTTGAAATAGATGGGCGTTAACATAACACAACACAAAAAAAAACAATTTAACAACTGTTAAAGAGTGTAGTTACATGAATTTACTGATCCAAGTACACGGAGATTCAACGTCACTTTTATAAATATAACACATCGCCAAAAAAGTAGGTACAAAATATCATTGTTCGATCTTTAAAAGCTTATTCGGCCTTTTGATAGCAACAAATTATAAAAACTATTTAGATAAATGATCTTTGACAAGATATAGCCGTAGTAATTATAGTTGATGTTGAAAATAATGGACGAGTATGTTATGAAAAATGATATGATTGACAATAATAAAAGTCTATTATGAAGCGAAGTCTGTAACGAATATTGTATTGGAAAAATAAATATTTCAGCAAAGTATACCTGTCTTATTTCATTTTAAAATACGATCGGTACACTAGTGACCTTGCTTTTCTCAAAATTAGCAGTAGCTTGTTGATGAACTAACAGGGTTAAGTTTTCGAGAACTGGAGGAAATAAGTGGGGAGTGAACAATGAACACAATGTTCGGCCGGGGTTGCGGGGAAGCTCAATGAGAGCAGGAGAAGGAACGGGGGGTTTTGAAGTCAGTAAGAGTCTGACACTCTCTCCCGCCTGACCCTGGGCGGGAGAAGTCATTTGATGATTTGCCCCTCACAAAAAAAACCTCACCAAAAATAACTATTATATAGTTGGAACATAATATTTTAAATTTGTATGCCACCTCTGTTCTGTGTTCAACAATAATATGTCGGCAAACGAACCTATTCATTAACCGATGGTAAGCAAGCGGCGCCACCCATGGTAACTCGTAATATTAAGAGACCCCATTCGTGCTGAAGTATGGCTGTCCCACACACAGTTGCATTAAAGACATTTTATTTGCACTGGGTGGTCATATTTAGAACCTATAAAGGCAAACCGACTCCTCTATAGACCAGCTCCGAAGTGATGAAGTCTTCAATGGGCAACTCCACGCTGTTAAGACACATCTCTGAGCAGACTTGCATAGGGAGGTTAAGTACTATAAAGTCTAGGGACTCTAGGTTTTTATTTTTTATCTTTTCGATTAGAAGAAAAGTTTCATTTTTGGAGAGAATACACTTATCAAAAATGCTAACTTCTGAGGCTGACTTGTAAGCAGGCCCTTATTAAAAGTCGCAGAGCTATAGACCACTGTTCGCAGGTTATAGAAGATACCGCTTCGCTGATAATCTCTCATTCTTCTTCATTTACGTGACAATCTCATAATATCTCGAGGCACAGATAACAAGAGACATTTAGCCTAGAAGTGAGAGCCATGCTTTGGCACGAATGGGTCGGCTGGACCGGAGTGATACCACTGCCTCACAGAAAACCGGCGTGAAATAACCACAGCGTTGTGTTTCGCCATGTGAGTGAGGTTACCGGAGGCCCAATCCTTCCCCTCCCCCAATCCCTCCTCAATCCCTAAATCCCCAAATTCCTTATCCCTAAAAGGTTGGCAACGCACTCGTACCTCCTCCGTCTGCTCGTTTGCCGACCTATTTTAACATAAAAAAACCTAGCTAAAAAAGACAGTCGTGACGTAAATTAATAAAATATTATTATGAGAAAGTACCTAAGAGCAATAATTTACGACAGCCCCAACCCTTAGCAGTGGTAGTTTTTAGTACTTACCTAAGTAAAGTATGCACTCCCTCCCGCCACAACCTGGGCGGAAGCGGAAGAAGTAATTTGATGATTTTTCTTCCACCACTCGACCATCAGGGGTCATTAGGGGATGATGCATGTTGATTATGTCAAGTGTCCTACGGTACTAAGGGCTATTTTAGACGACCTTAATTTTTAATTTCATTTATCTAAATAAACAAAAATAAAAATAAAACTGTGCCCCACACTAGGATTTTCTCCTTAATCGTGAGCGCATTTACATTTACGAACATGAATCAACATATCTACCTACATAACCACCCAGACCCAAAACAACAATTTGTGGATCGCAGAAAGTGTTGGTCGAATCAGCAACACTTTGCACAGCAGCCAGTTTCCCAGCCGAAATGCGCCAACCATGCCGTCACTAAACCTAGGCTACATAAGTACAAGTTAGTAAAGACAGGCAGAAAATATCCTGCCTGTCTTTACACTGGATATTTTCTCGATGCCTCCCCTGTACTTAACAAGGGAGGCAAAACAACAATATGACAAAATTTATGAAGACACGAAACTCAAGCTGCAATGCGATTCACTAACAGAATCATCATAGATGTTAACAACGACGCGTTTACGGATGTTTCATCGTAAATATCGCTTCTAAAAACAACGTTGATAAAAACCGTATTCGCTGAGCTACATAAGCTCGTCGACGATCTGCCGAACAACGATGATGAGTATGATGTTGGCAGTGTTGCTATGTTTAATCTAGAGTATAATCGAGAAAATCTCGACTAACCTATGTTTAAGTTATTTCGTCATTTTAAATTAATACAAACGCACAAGACGTATCTACAAATCACGTTATATTTAATAAGCAACAAATGTTTAATTAATTATATTATTTTAGACTTGGAAAATAATTAATTTTGATTATAGCAATAAAACAAAACTAAATCTTTGACACTTTTATTTTTAGGTTATGTATTTCAAAACAAACAACTTGATCTTATCTTGAAAGTTTTTTATCAAATTACGAAATTCCAAAGTTCTAAGTGGTGTTAAGTGGCTAAGTGGACTTTAAAAAATTGTGCACCCCAACCCAATGACGTTCTACTTGTTCTGTGTTTTAGTTTGGTCCCAAACCTATCGAAAGTAAGTATATAGTTACATTTCTATATACCAGTTTGTGGAACATGTATAGCAGTTTGTGAAACTACTATATAAGTAACCAAAATATTTAACTTTTAGTGTCTCGCAACGCATCTCCTTCGTTAGATCAGCTGGAAAAGCTAGTCACCTTTTTTGTATTCTCACATAATATTTTTTGGTAACTCCCATTAGCTAAAAATGCGAGAGTGCATAAAATCTAGAATGTGATAAGTTTTAGACATTTTTCACTATAAGTATAGTGATATAATAGTTGTAATAATAATAATATAAATTTAATTAATTTAGTTATACTTTAGTTTGTTTGCAAATTCCTCCTTTACGTTTCGTCTTTGCTAAAAATGGTGAAATATCTTCTTCCAATTGTTTAATTGACTCTTCAGTCAACCTGAATACCTTAATAAATTCTGTATCAGTAGTAAGAAGATCCATGTTACGTATCACATGTGCCTGACTTCTTTTTTCTACATTATCTCGACGCTTAGCTTCTTCCAACAAAAAAATCATACAGGAAAGACGAACTGCCATTTAAAACATTAATAATAGGCATTAAAGTTTCACGAATTAAAATACGGTAAACAAAACAATACTAAGCATTTATAATTTAAAAAATAACTTGTTTTACTTACGTTTTAATGTCTACAACCAAGGAAACATCTTCAATTTACAAGCTTTACGCTTTGACAGGTAAAATCTAAGGCGAAGGCGCCGTTGTCGTTGAAGGCGAGGATGTTTTGTGTTTCTGAATACCGTTTTTCATACATTCGGAACCATATTTTAGTTCTATGTCGCGCCGTCGACATCGTTGTGGCGCTACGACCGCGCAGTTTTAACTAAAGAATACCGATAAGTTTTCATCAGATGTTTCAACGATGATTTCTCGGTTGTAAAGATGTTTTGCCTTAGTGAATCGCACTCCTGCTTCCTACCTTCTGTTTACCTGTCTAGTCTGAATTTGATACAATTATCATAATCGAAGCATCCACATTTGTTCACACATCGTTAAACTCCTTATAATCCATAATTAATTTGACACAATTCATGTTAGATAAATGGGACATAATGTTACGATCAGGTGAATTGACTTCAGTCGATATCTTGAATCCGTCGGAAGAACTTTCTCCGTGGTTCCCGATAGCAGTTGTTTTATTTGTGGTAAGTGACAAAAAGTGTAATTCCTATAAAGTCGCATATTTCGGTATATAAGTAGGTTACCTATGTTGTTTGTTTTATGTTGTGTTAGCTATTTTCCCAAAATAGGCCTTTTTACAAATTAACTTAGATAGATAATGTTTGAGCATCATCAGCCTAAGGCGTCAAGCCGAACAAAAGGCTCTTGCCACACGAAGAAGGTTTAAGCATTAAATTATCATGCTTGCATAAGGCTGATTGGTGATATCAAACTTTTAATTTCAAATTATAGGTACCTACTTTAGTCCCGATTTCCTAATTTTGTTTTTCCTTCACTGTTTTTGTCTGTGGGGTCTAAATAAACTTGGAATGTACATATACATAGATAACTAGGAAAACGTCACATAATCACTTACCTATCTGGATGCGAACCCTGAGGCTATTGTGAACAAGAATCTAACGCCTTCATCCTTCGGACCATGTTATAAGTCGATAGATAGACCAATATACATATACCTAGTATTGAAAACAGAAAATGCATAGGGTCATGCCAACCCTCTATGAGTCGATGCGCTGGTCATTGAAAATCCTTCAATTTACAATACTTTCTTAATAATTACATTGATCTGAGCAGTTGCTTTGGCAACCTTTTAGCCAATATATAAGTACATCTGTGCAGACAGCATGTGCAGCCAGGCTAATTCTAAATACCAAGTAAACTTATTTTAAGAACATTTAAGATAAAGTCAAGTCATTTATTTCAATTAGACCCCAACAATTTTGCAATTTTGAACGTCAACAAAGCTCAAAGATAGAAATTGTCAGTCTGTCGGTAATTCCTCTTAGTGAACCTTATCGCTCGTAACAAAGTATAGATTCAACAATGGGAAGAACGAGCAAGAAACTCCACGATTCAGGGCTGATTTTTCAATAGTTTGTTAAAAGTTACCTGGGGAATAATGAATTATGATGCTGTCGCGTCCGCATGTTTGTATAAGACAGTGACAGCAACAATTTTATTCCTCAGATAACATTTATCAGACTAGGTATTGAAAAATCATCCCTTAAATCAGTAACAAATATACCCAAACCTATTCATAAGCTGATGTTCATTCAGAAACTTGATTTTAATTAATTCATTTCGGACATACAATTGTTCTCAGCGGTCAATAAACCTTATCTACCAACTTGAAATAAAACTTATACCTACACAACTTTTTATTAAATAGGTAGCGTAACTTCAACAAAATTATGACGCATTATGAACTTCAATACGGAAACGAAGTTCTTAAAACGTCGATAAATAACCAAATGAATTTAGCATTTAAGTGCTAAAATAAACAATCAATAAGTACCTACAGCGTCATACCTAGTCGACTTCCAAAAACATTGAAATGTCAATATTATTGGTCAAAGAATTTAGTCCATCAAAATAATAGGCATCTAATAGAAAAAAATGTTTAGTGGATGAAAGGACTGTAGGTAAGTATAAAGTTTTCAAAATCACATACAAATCTATAATTACAAATATATAGTAGGTATAAAAATATACCTAAGCTGAAGAGTTCGTTTGATTGAACGCGCTAATCACCGGAACTACTACTAAATTCGAATTGAATTATTACTTTTGTGTTGGATAATCTATTTATTAAAGGCGCTATGACCAATAGGTGCCGAGCAACGGGTGAATCCGCGCGTGCGCGTTATTAATATCATAATTAAGTATAAAATGGACTATGAGTTTCCAGATATTTCCTACTAAGTACATTCAATAATTAGTAGATTTTTTTTGTAAGGAGAAAATCATCCAATGACTACTCCCACTCAGGGCCGGGCGGGAGGGAGAGTCAGACTCTCTAAAAACGCCCCTGTTCCTTCTCCTGTTCTGGGCCACATATTTTTGTTGTGTGGGCCGAGGTCGCGGTGCCTCATTGCGTTTACCCCGCAACCCCGGCAATAAATTTTAAATGGATGTTTCTTACTCTTTCACCTAAAAACTACTGAAAAGATTTTGATGACAATTGGTTCAAAGATATTGTACTTAGATTAGTTTTTAATAACACTTAGGCTACCTACTTTTCGTTTAGTTTATTCGAATAAATTAGAATAACAATCACGAGTCTCACGCATGTTGAAAAATATCTGACTAGTTAATTTGGTATTTTCTTTTTATTTTGTAGTTTAGCGTAGGTAATAGGAATATTTCTTATGAGAACAGAAATTACTGTCGAGTTCTAATTCGTTAGACCATTATTCGATCTTTGTTACAATGAGAAACTAAGTTGGGAATGGTCAAATATATTATACATATATGTAATACTATTATTATATTATTTATTTGTCTATTGTCAACTTCAGGACCTAAAAGCAAATTGTAAAATATTTTTTCGTTAGTCATTCTCTTAATAATATGATTTGTATGTGGTGGATGGTAATTGGATTACGGAAACCAAACAGATCTATCTACATTTAAATGGACAAAAATATATTTTTGGAGAATGTACCTATTCCTTCAGGAATATTTAGAAAAGTACGACGATTCTTTTATCCCCAATAGAAAAAGTCGTATTTTTTTTTGTGTGCGGGAAATTAGATATGTCCTTACATTATTATAATTAGTACTTACCTACACATTAAATTGAACATTACAGTACCTACAACTAAATATGCAAGCCAAGGAGAAAGTATCAGCGCTGTATCAGAAGCTGGATGATAAGTTTGCTCAACAATTTGGATTTAAAATAAAAGACGTCACATTCAACAGAATAGTTGAGTACATGTATGCTCCAAAGGATTCTTCAAGTTTAGCTGTCACCAGGATTTTGTTTGGTAAGTAGGTACCTATGGAAACTATGTTTTACGTGGAGACTTTTTTATGTCATACATAGGTCGGCAAACGAGCACACGGATAACCTGGTGGTAAGCCATCAGCGCAGCCCATAGACAATCGTAATACCAAAGGAGTTCATACTGATTTAATTTAAGCCTAATGGAGCTATTCAGAAAAACGTACGTACATAGCCAAGTAAACTTACCCCCGGTTTCCGAAAGGCCGATCAATGTTAAAATCAATTTAATCTCTTGTCGAGTCATCTGATTGGTTGACTGAATAATCAACAACCAATCAGATGACTTGACAAGAGATTTAACAGGAGATTAGCTAATTTTAGCGTTGACAAGCTTTTCAGAAACCGGGTGTAAGTCCTTAGCTACGCTTAAGGGTTCCGGGATTGTGGGTGCAAGTGCAATTATCTAGCGCAGCCTTGGGCCGGAGCAGGAGAAGAACGACGGTCAGTAACTGTCTGATATTCCCTTTTTACAAGGGCGGCAGTAGTTATTTGATGAATTACTCCCCCTCATAAAAGCTTACTTATTAGTTATAGTATGTTATTAGTTATGTAGTTTGATAAATTATTATCAAACTACAAAGAATCCGACACTAATTATCACGAATTAAAAATGTCCTCCTGCTTATCCAGGACTGGCGATGCTGTTTGACATCCCGGACGAGCGCGGCGGTGCCTCCATGGTGAAGCGCTGGGGCGACCCTAACACCTGCCATTTTCCATTACTGCCGTTTATAACATCAGTCGGCATGCCTTACATGGCCCTTGTTTATGCAGCACTATGGATTGGTAAGCCTCCTCGACTGCGAAATTTAAATTATGTTTGGTATTCAATAATAGAGTACCAGTAATCATCCAGTTCGCTAGATATCTGATAACTAACAGCCCGCCCCTAATTTGTAGGGGTAACCAAACTTTCTTCTTCTTTTCGATAACACTCCTGACAATTACAAAAAAAACACAAAAAGAATTGTCATAAGTATCTGGTTTAGGCATTGTTGAGATATGCGCTTACTAACCAAATTTGCTATTCATTTTTATAATAAAGATTATTTTTAAATAATATATAGCCTCCTATCTTTAGTTGTAAAAACATAGTCATTTGGAAAGCCCCATAATCCTATTATGCTTCTATGTGACAATAAAAATAATTTGGCAAAACCATTTCCATTATCGTCTGTTTTAATCTACATGTTAAACTAGCTTCCGCCACCGGCTTAGCACGCGTATAAAGGTAACATATCCCAGGATATTAATAATGGCAGCGTTTACCTAAATCAATAGCTCGACTAAAATACGCAAATATTTTTTTTAATTTATAGCACTCAACTTCTCAAATCCGACCGACTCCAAAGAAATTCCCCTTACATACTTCAAACTTATAATATTAGTACCTATAGATTGATTTTTAGGTCAATACTTAAAACCACGGAGTAAGAACAAAGCTTGGAACTTACGTCATTAATAAAACAATAATTCATTCTACGTAAATCACTAAATAAACTCAATTTAAGAGATTTAAAAATTAAACAATGTAAATACTTCAGTCGGCGAAGCGAGTTTCAAGAAAAATGTTGAGTACTTCTTAAAAGCAATCGATAAGCATTTTCATAGATTTTATTTTTCAGTTCTATTGTAGCTGCCTCTTTTGATAAGATGACGTGGGCAAGCCATCCATAGAGCTAGAAATCCTACTAATATTATGTGTGTTTTGTGAATGTATGTTTCTTATTTCTTACACAAAAACGGCAACGACCGATTTGGTTGAAATTTGATATGTGTTTGATACCCTTTCTTTGAGAGGGGAAAGTCGTCTAATGACTTCTCTCGCTCAGGGTGGGGCTGGAGGGAGTGTCAGGCTCTTAGTGACTAAAAACCCCTCCGTTCCTTCTCCTACTCTAGGATTGTGCGCGTGCCCCGCAACCCCAGTTGAACACCAGCCTTAAAGCGCCCCGTAAGCAAAAAAAAATTAACATATAAGCTGCTTTTTATCAACATTACACCGGGCGAAGCCGCGGGCTTCAGATACTAACAGTACTTATAAAACAAAAACGTTCCTTGCAAACCCTGCACTATTCGAAGGGGCCCAAAGCCCAGATACGGACTAATAATGATGATGAATGCTTTAGCCAAATTTGTGATCTCTTCCCCAGGCGCGCTCTGCATCATGCTAGGCTACAGGTTCCGTGTAGCAGCACCCGTGTTCACCGCGTGCTACTGGTACCTGTTCCTGATAGAGAAGAGCTTCTGGAACAACCACAGCTACCTCTTCGGGCTGGTCGCCATGTTGCTCAGCTGTACGGAGGCTAATTGCTATTGGTACGGATTTTTTCCCGTTTAACTCAATAGGTATTACTTGAAAGCGTTTTAAGCGGATATCATCAGTGGATACTTCTTTCGCCTTAGCGAAAGGTCAGCAAACGAGCAGGATTACTTGATGGCAAGCATTCGGCGCTGCCCATGGACCCGCAACACCAGAGGAGTTTCTCGTGCTTTGCTGACGTTTTGGGGATTAGGGATTTGGAGATTTAAGGATTGGGGGTTTGATTAGTTCCGAAACCAAATAGGCACCAGCTACTCTTATTCTCTTAATAATACCTTAACTGCGACAGATTATAGGTACTAAACGATTTCTACCAATTGAACTGTTTGGTATGAGTGGTGATGATGGTATTTGTATGTTATTATAACTTATATTTACAGGTCCCTTGACGCTTATTTAGACCCTACAACAAAAAAGGCAACAGTGCCATACTGGAATTATTTTATCCTGAAGTACCAATTTTTCATACTGTATTTCATGGCTGGGATGAAGAAAGGTACAGCGGAGTGGCTAACTGGGTATTCTGTGCAGAATCTCAGTGAACATTGGGTGTTTGACCCTTTCAAGTGAGTAGTCCTCCGTAAAACCATAGCGAAAAGGTATTTGTCGCGTAAACTTACTCCAATATGGACAAGCGAGTTATTATTGGAGATCAATTGACATATAGGTCAATAATTTACATTTACAAACAATCAATTGACTGAATGCCTATTGTTTGCAAATGGATAAGTATTTGCTTTGTAGGAATTCGAAAACAGTAGTCACAGTTTTTGATTTCATTTTTGTAACAATATTTTACTATTATTTTGCTACTTCGATCAGCAAGATCTAAGATGTCAATTTCTTATCCTTTCTCTCTACCTAAAAATAGGCACCTGTGGCCTATATTTAGTTAAGCGGCTAGTTACTAGTTATCATGAATAGATGAATTTGTAGGTAAAACCAATAAAAACTATACATTGTTCGGTACCAGCAAAGGTGCTACTCTAACTAAGAAAACTTCCTTGCAAGTGCAACGTTTCGACAGCTACATTATCATCACTTACTTCCATTTTTCTCTTGAATTTAGAGTTTCTTAAGATAATCTTCTAAATTCCGTCTAGAATCCTCCTAGAAAAGATGAAGTTCTCTTTTATTTGCAGATTCTTCTTAACAGTGCCCCAGACGGATTACCTGGTGGTGCACTGGTTTGTGTTTATGTTCGACCTGACGGTGGCCATCTGGATGATGTACGCCAGCACAAGGCACGTTGCTATGGTCTTCTGTGCTCTGTTCCATTTGATGAACAGTAGACTCTTTCGGATTGGTAAGTTCTTTGCCGTTGGGACTTCATTGGTAAACCAATATTACATGAACTTGTCTCGAAAAAAAAACTGTTAAATGTATCTACAAATTTTAAAGATTCTCCTTCATTGTAACTGCAGGGGCGATGCAAAGTTTGTTGCAACGGGAAATAATAAAGTTAAATGCCCAACTTCAACTTGAAACAGATGTTTTATATTCTAAATTTTCAGGCATGTTCCCTTGGGTGTGTTTGGCTACAATGCCATTATTTTACCCGTTTGATTGGCCCAAAAAACTAGCACCGTACTCAAAATGTTTATACCGAAAGGCGCAACAGACTGTCTGTTCTAAAATTAAACAAATGCGGAAGGAAGCAAAGTGTGACTGTCTTCCGAAAGATTCAATGGATCAATTCGATTCTGAGGAAAAAAATATGGAACTTAAAGAACACGAAGAAATAGTTACTAATAAAACAAATAGAAATGGAACAGATGAAATTAATAAAGTTGAAACCAAACCTGATATTTGTAAGGAATTGGCAAACATTGAAGAAAATAGTGTCAACGATCAAAATAAATATGTTCATAAAGAAGAGAAACCATCAAATGAAGTAGCAACTATTGGCAATGATTTGCACAAAGATAACAAAAGAAGAAAAACTACAGTGTATTTGATTATGGCATACGTTTTTATTCAAGCATTTCTACCTTATTCACACTTTATAACAAAGGTAAATTGAATAACAAGCACTTTAACGCTATAAATTGGCTCAATTCCGTTATTTTTTCAATTATTTTTATTTAGTTTTGTTTGATTATTTGTTGTTTTTGTATTTTTAAAGTAGGTATTTATTATAAAAAAATATGGTTTGTAGTTTCTTTCAGGTCACCACTCTCAATACCCGATTGGTATCCAAATGCGATTGACCATTCTTAGCTATAAGTCATATAAAAGGTCAGGAAAGCATTTAAAAACTAGCGCAGTTTTAAATGGCTACGTAATCTCTAACTTCTTTAAGCACACATTTCTTTCTTGAATTTGCTCATTGAATACTTCCACTAATGAAAACGTCGAGGCATGAATTTTAAATTAAATTCACAGAAACTTATCTTAAGCTTGAAAAGCCATCAAAGAACTTTGCAGCTGCAGAGTGGGCGGCGATAGGCGAACGTGGGCGTTTGCACGATGCTCACTTGAAAAATTAAACAGGCTTTTCAAGTTTGACCTAGAATCGTGATTATTAACACTTTTTTTCATAAAATATCGTATGTATATATGCAATTGCAATAGTAATAGAGTGGTAAGCCCACTCTTTTACTTATTAGGAGTGCAAATTAAATATTTTGTCGAAAGTCCCCCCAAACCACAAATAAACTTAAACCAATTGACCGAAAAATTTTTTCGTTTTATTGTTTTTAATGGGAGCCTTAAGAAACTCATAATTATCGACCTCTTCTTGTTATTGTCTTCATCATCAATATCACCCTTCTTCTTTACTTCGAGCGATGAGACCTGCTCGTGTGCAAAATATAGTAAATTAGTATACTCCGTTTCAGGGTTATAACAACTGGACAAACGGTCTCTACGGTTACTCCTGGGACATGATGGTCCACACATGGGACGTTAGCACTGTCATCGTCAAAGTTGTGGACAACGAAAGCAACGAAATGATGTACATTGACCCTCAAATGTACACTCTTAACGACAGATGGTCTCGACATGGAGACATGGTCTACCAATACGCGCATTGTTTAAAAAACAATCTAGAAAAAGTGAGAGAAATAAATTGGCGTTATCCATCGAAGGTTTTGTCTAGAAACATTTCAATCTACGTTGATATTTGGTGTTCAATGAATGGCCGATTCGTCCAAAGAATGTTTGATCCGAAGGTGGATTTGCTCAAAGCGTCGTGGTCTCCGTTTTGCAAGGTACCGTTCTTGATGCCTTTACTGGACGAGGCGATACATTGGAGGAAGGGCATGGATAATATTAGGAGCGATGTTCATTCCTGGAGCGAGTACAGTGATGTGGTTTTCTTTGCTGATTTTCCAGGTTGGTATTAGCGTTTACTTTTATTTTCCAAGGATCCTGTCATAACCTGGTTTATTTATAATTATTTGACATTCCAATCCGGATCCCCAGCTACCTCAATAGTTCTACTAAAGTTAAGAGCTGTTAAAAAAAAGGAAATGTTATAGCTAAATCGATACTTTTTTGCCAGTGGTAATCTTTCTATAGAAAAGATAGATTAATGTTTAATCACGACCTTACCAGCATACTACACTTAGGCCAATTTTTTCGTAATCGATTTTTTGCCTTATCAGTTTATTATATGGTTGAAAATCTTGTGAAAATGGGAGTAGATTGATGTGTCGGTACATATTTTAAGGAAATATAATTAGTTAGTTTCTTGAGTCACACCCTTAGGTCCTTTTTATACGGGACTAATGTTGACAAATACTGTTAGGCACTGACTAACAGAGTTACTAATAAAATATAAATACTAAACATGGCTTTCCAAGGTGACAATATAATACTTAAGTCATAATAACTAAAAAAGAAGAAACATCCGATAATTGGCAAATTATAATGATTTGATTATTTTTATACCTAGGTAATATTATTATTTAATTTTCGACTTTAAATTTTTTGATTATTTACATAGGTGTACATTCTATGCTTGTTGTAAGTAAGTACATAAAGTACGTTTACAAAAATAAATAGTATACCTATGAAATCTTTATTTACAAAAAATAACAAAAAAAAAATCTCATGAAATATTTTAAGGACGTTTCACACTGTGATATTATTATTGTCTGTACCTATGTACTATGTACTGTCAAAATGGAAGGTCATTCTTTCGATTAAAGTAGATAGTTATCTACTGATTTGTAAAAACTGGAAATCAGGTTTTTATAATTCCACCTACCAACTTAATTAAGCTGTATTACCTCGAATATTCCTTATTATTAAGTTTAACGAGTAAAGTACTCGCTCAACTGTTCGTCGACGCACCTTGACTAGTTTCTAGCTACTTACGGGATCCATAATCTTGAAAACCACTGTACTGAATGATTTATATACTTATAACTTTCTTCAATAAATTTTATTATTTATTAAAAAAAAAAAATAACTTCCAATTTTCCGCAGGTTACGATCAAGAAAAATACATTCCAGAAGAGTTGCAAAATGTTACTCTAACTATTCTAGAAGGTGATGTCGTCTTCGAACCCGAGGTGACCCAACAACGGATAGGACAGTCCTTCAAATTAACTAAAGGAAATCGCATCCAGATAATACCAGGAACATTCCATAAAGTCATAAACATTGGAAAAGAACCTGCTTTCTATATGTATACCTTTTTCAACCACACCCAAGAAGAACCACATATATTAACGACATCTAATGTTAAACTACCAATTTTCAAAGAATTGTACCGCAGATTTTTTAACATGTTAATTTTCGCTGATCTAGTTATTAAAAATATATTTCAATTGTTTAAATTTTCACAATGCAATTCCTAAATTGTTAGTAGATATTATTATTCAGTATATCAACAAAAACGCTTTTCATCATCATCAGCCTAGAAGTACCCACTGCTGATTAAAGGCACAGTATAAATATGGAATCCCTATTTATTTATACTGTGTCAAAGGCCTCATCTCACACGAAGAAGATATGAGCATTTTAACACTAAGTTTAGGTTTCATCATAATGTTTTTAGCATCGTACGTCAGTTGTTTCTAAATATGTAAGGGTTTACCATTGACATAGGAAATATATGGACTTGAAATACCTACGAAGAAAAGGTGCATACCTACAATCCAAAATGTCGCATAAGATGGCTGCCGTTGCTAGGGTTGTGCCGACTAAGTATTTAACGAGTATCGATACAATTTGAGTATAAGTTCTACGTAGGTATAGTTTTAGGGATTAGCCAGCTGATTAACGGTATGTTTTATGGGAAATCATCTAATGTCATCTCCGGCCCTTTTCGTGACAGACCGTTACTGACTAAAATCAACTCCTGTTCCTACTTTACCGTCGGCCTAGCTAGAGCCCGGAACCCGGGGTTACCTTGGTCTCTTGATTGGCTAATGATTTTCTCAAGTCGAATTTGTATTCATATAACTCTACGTAAAGCGTCTTTAAAAAAAAAGGACTGTGTTTATGAACAGCGTTTAATGGAATGGTGAAATAGAAAAAAGATAGTGTTTGTTAAATGTTTATCTTTATATATGTGAAAAACCTGTAGGAATTTGTGAAGTGCTCGCGCACAATTTCGGTGGGTCTGATTAAGCGATGATATCTTCGAAACTACGTTAGCACAAAAAAGATAAGTAGTGAAGTCAATCTTACTGTATGTATCTCACTTATTAAGCTTGGTGGTCCCACTGGGATCGCCGCCAACGCCGCTCTGTCAATCGCGCCCGGATAATTATAAAACATGATAATTTGAACTTCTACTTATGTAACTAAAACCAATACCAAAATATTGACGTCTTACTTTAGCCTTACACAAAACTGAGGAAACATCCATTGCTAAAATAGATTATTTAGGATAATGTATCTTGAATTTTAAATGGGAGATTATATCGATACTTTTGTGGAATGGTACGTAACTATGCCATTTTGACATATTATTGTAAACAACATTTTTTTACTAAAACTGTCTCACAGACAGAAATAGAAGTAGATATATATACTTTGGCAATAGATTCAAGTATCCGTAACATTTTTTTCTATCTATGTGGATTATTCTAAGTAATATTTGATGAAAACTGTTTACTAACCTATACAAAGACAATTGAGGTTGATTTTCGTTCTTTTTTGCACCACACTGCACAATACAACACACAGGCATATTGTATTTTTGTTTCACTATATATGTTAGAAGTTTAAAAAAATGGTTCTTTGTAATTTACTGGAAAACCGCAATAATTTAAAACATAAACAACCGTTTGACAGCATAACTACCATGAAACTCAGGTACTCTGAGCGCTTAAGATGGCGGACATGGCACTTACCTACAACTTTGCTAATGTCAAAATGATTTGTTGCCATAATAAGCAACAACTTAAATATTGTTGTCCCTTTTGTCTAATACAATTATTGCCTAAGAAAGAGTGAGAAAAAACTATATTTCATAGTTTGTTTCATATTTCACTCATATTTGTATAAGCATGTATACTTCTATAATAACAGGGCGCCTCTATATATTTTCTATCTCAATGGGGTTTACCCGCTGCTCGGCTCGGCGCCCATTTAATCGTAGCGTAATGTTTTATGGACTATAGCACTCAGGAATATTGTAGCTATCTATCAGTAAAAGAATTTTGGAAATCCGACCAGCGGTTCCAACGATTACCCCCTACATACAAACTTGCAAATTTTACCTCTTTATAATATTAGTATAAGTATAGAAGATGTAACTCGGAAAACGTCACTTTGGTAGTATTGCCAGGTTAGACCCACATTAAAAATAAATGTCGTGTGACGTTAAAAATGCTATTTGCGTTGCAAAACTTGTATCTATTGCATTAGCACTAAGTCTATTGTTGTACATTTACAATGTAAGTACTTACCTGTCTATTTAATTATAGATGTTTTTGTTATAATACTATCATTATAAATTCAATATTTTATATTCAAAAAGAAAGATTATTTTTGTCAGCTCCGAAATTTACCTACTTAAAAATTATTATATAAAAATATTATAAAGTTAAAAATTATTTTTTTTTCAACTGAATTTGTAGTCATTGTCTAATAAATATTTTAAAATAATTTAAAAACAGTTTTCTTTTACGTACGTAAACGATGTAATTCGATTTTTTGTTCACTCAAGCACTTAAATAGCTTTGCAGCATGACTTAAAACGTACTTATAGTTATTTAACTAAGTTATTTGTGTGATTGCCATATTAATTTACTGGATATGTAAATAAATGTACCAACTTAATAAGGTATGGTTCAAGAAATGCAACAATAAAAATATATACTGTGGCATTTTCTTAGGTTTTTGATTGTATAAGTTTACTACAAAGTACCTAGTATATGTATGTATAGGTGTTATTTTTCAACAACTAGCTCTAACTCGCGGCGTCGCTCCCGTCATTTGACTAGCAACCCTACTCTACCTACCCTACTCTATCTACCGTACTCTATCTACTCTACCTACCTACTCTACCTGACCTACACTACTACTACATTCTCCAATTCTATGTCCTTCTCCCAGTTCATAGCTAGGTACCTACCTCCCTACGAATTTTCAGCCAAATTGGTTCAGACGTTTTTGAGTTATAAATAGTGTAACTAACACGACTTTCATTTATATGTGTAGATGAGTTTATTTTAAAATAATTAAATAGAATAAACAACATAAACTGATTTTTCTTATCTCATCTAACATACGATATGCTTAAATAATATCGCCATGCCTACCTCCCTTTGCAGCAGTCACATAAAGCGATCCCATCTTTGCGGGTCCTATTAAAATCTTGCATTAGTTAGTGAATTTGACCTTACAATAAACCTTGAAACATTAGTATAGGTTGATATCCCCAAAAACGGCGACGCTAAAGATGTCAAATCTTTTAAAAAGCGCGGTTTGATATGTGTTGCCATGTTTTATTTTTGAATTCTGTCACGAATTCAATATGTCTAATACCATCTTTTAAATAAATAGCGGCGAGAAGTTTGCTGTATGCACAAATTATATATTTATTTAACTTAAATAAACATATAGTTTTAGGTTATTGATCTATAATTTCCATTATTATTTTACTTCAAAGTCAGATAAAATGAACGCAGCAGAATACAATGTTACCAAGTAATCAAAAACATCCAAGTTTGTACTTTTTTTGACTGGATTTATAGGAGAGGATAACTGCACATAAATTATGTGAGATATCAGGTGCTTTCATTTTGTAAAACCGTCATCATAATGTGATTTTATGTAGAAAAGCTTTAATCACATTTAACATTTCATAGGAGATTTTAAGATTTTTTTATTATAAGCAGTCCAGCTTATTTATTCAAAAGCATTATTAGAAGTTTTTATTTTAACCTTTTTGATGATGATGATTTTCTAAAAACAAAATATCATCCCAAAATATTTTATACTAAATTTCTTATAAGAAAATAACAAATTGACACATTTTAAGTATTTTGAACTTGGTAACACTGTATGGCGCGACGGGCGGATTCGTCTGTCAAATATAAAATGAAGGCGACAGCGACACACGGCGTGGCGTGAAACGAGTTCATTCATCTTTTCCTCTTGCCGCTGTGACGAGTCTTATAAGTTCGGGCTCGAGCCGACGCCTCGTCACTGCGAATAAATAGTAAAACCGAGGACTTTCCGTGATCATTATCGAAATTAGTATCAGAAAGGCAGCACGCCTTACCGCCCCTTCGAAATATTGACATTTTTAGTCATCTGTGATATAACGATACAGCGGTATCCTGTTATTCAATTTTAGGTTAAAAGTCTCATGTGATGATCAGTGCAACATTTTAAAAGTTTAAATATTGTGCGCGCTTGTGTCTCGTGACCGGTATTTGGACTGAACTTATAGAAAAATGGAGTCTCCGGTGATGGCTTATGCTTACGATATAACGCCGAATTACTCTTACATTTTCGAATTCGAGAACGAATTTATCCATACCGACTATCGGAAATGGATGACGGAAAATTGGACTGTGGCGTTCTATTACGTAGGGGTGTACATGGCGTTCATTTTCGGCGGTCAATACTACATGCAGAACCGACCCAGGTATGTAACGATGTCTTCCGTACCAAGTTCAGTGTGCCAGTGGCCCACTCATGCTAATTAACTGACATAATACAGGAAATAATGTAATCTCTTACTAGAACTCAACTTGTTCTGATTGCATGCTTACACACTAGCTGTTTCATATCAGTAGTTAGTCATTTTTATATTTAGAATATTAGGCATCCTGTGAAATATTAGTATGAGCCATATGTAAATTTTAATGAGCATGAATATCTTGGTTGTGTAAAAAATTCCATTCAAATTGGTCCAATTAAAATAATTCAGCTGTTACTAAGTAAATGTTAGGAATTTTATCTAATCAACTATTAATTTACTTACACAAAGTTTAAATATTTAGTAAATTAAATATACAAACTGTTAGATCATTACATTTTCTTAATAAGGTGCTATAAAATTATTATTCTTACTGTATTCATAAGGTTACTGACACTCCAGTAATTAGATCATAAATATAATAAAATAATTTGTAACACTTTATGATTTAAGAAAGTTGTTTATCTTTATGTAGTAAAAACTATTAGAAAGATACTTTTTACTAAGAATAAAGAATACTTGGAACAAGTATTACAAAATTATTAGATTACATATTTAAAAATATGCCAATGACAATTCGATGATGGTGTTGACCATATCGAAAAATTGTATTATTCCTATTAACCTGCTGATTCACTCTTATTGGTTGTGGCTTGATATTTTATGGCCTTTCCTTCGTATCTAGTTCTATTATTCAACACAAACCTGTATAATAATTATAAAATTCAGACCAGTAGTTCCAGAGATTAGCATGGTCAAACAAACAATCAAACAAACTACAGGTTAAGTAAATATCATGTAATTGCCAAATTTAGTTGAAAAATAAATAAATACTTTTTTTATTGAACTCTTCAGCTGTTAACAAGATAATAAATTATTTTGTAAGTATTTAAGTACCTAGTAAAGTTTAAACATAAAATTAACATTTTAACCTCCATAAAATGCAAAAACAATGTTCACTGTTAGCAATTTATCGTGTTGACATGTGAATTTTAAGTAATTTAAATAATTCTAATTCATTATGTTGTATCAGTAACACTCTTTTTTCACTAAATAAAATTCAAGTTTGTTACCTGACTTCTCACTTTGAGACTTTTATCTTAAAAAACAGGTTTATTTGTCTATCTATCCAAACACAACTCAGGAACAACTGAACCAATTGTAATGTAAACAATTACCTAGGTAGGTACACTTACTGTGAAATTTTTAAAAAGCAAAGTCATAGGGAAATTTTGTAAATGTATTCATTAAATAAGTTGCTAGTCATGGATACATTGACATTGAATTATTTTCATATGAACCAATGCTTCGGTCATAATAAATACTCCCAGTTTATAAATAAACCATTATGTGTTTTGTTAACTTAAAATTGCAAACAAGTTTAATCAAATTATAAATACTCTTTTTAATAACATGCTGTATTATTTTATATTATACAGATGTTGTAACATGATTAAGTAAAATTTTTATTTTTTTTTAAGAAAAATCTTCATTTGTTTTAGATATGGTATATACTAGTGTACCGGTGATAGGATTAGCAATCATTGCAATTCAAAAATTTCAGGGTTTACTCTACTACTGTGTCCCTCTGTATTTTATAAGACCTGCCAACCCTAATACAGATTAAATGATATAATGAATGAACATAGCATTAAATGATGTCAAAAGAAATGGTTTAAGTCTTTCTGGACTAGTCTTGTTCTTGAAATCTATTTAATTACCTAGATACCTGCCTAAAAATTTTCTCTGAAGATAAATAAAATGGAATCTAGTATAGATATCAATATTATAATGTCTGTCAAATGCATTTTGATGTTCCATTACATGACACATGTTGCCATAAATATCATGTAAGCTAATCTCGCGCGGTTTCTCCCGCTACTCAGCTCATAGGGCGATGTTTCAAAGCCTGCCTTTACCTATGTTTGTGGTATGCAACACAAATATGTTTTTCAAACCGAACCATTAGTTCCTGAGATTAGCGCGTGTTAAGTGTAAATAATACAAACAATATTATTATTATTATTACTTTAAGTATCCAATAGGGATTATGACTGAACCTATAAAAATAAAAAAATCAAATTAGTTTGTCAGCTAAATATCGAGAAAATAGAAATTGTCTTCTAAGCAAAGAAAACTGATAGAACGAATTTAAATTTGGAAGTAGGTGGTCGTTACGTCACCGCTCAGTTTAAAATGTACGGAGTTGTGATGCTCCACGATATTTCAAATATAATATATAAAATTCTCGTGTCACAATTTTAGTTACCTTACTTCTCCGAAACGGCTTTACTAATTTTTACCAAATGTTATATGCATATTCATTTGGTCTGAGAATCGGCCACCGCGCTATTTGGCGTACTCTTAAGTGATAAGGGCTGTTAAGCTTTAAATATTTTTATTTTTTCGGAATGATTTATATGGCAAAACAAAGTTTGCCGGGTCAGTTCATTTCAAATAAAATTGTCGCAAGTATAAACACAACCCATAAAAAAAAAACGAAAATATCTACGTGTCTAATGTTTTGAATAAATCTAAAAGACGGATATTAAATTAAGAATTAGTCATTCCTATTGTCTAGTAAATAAAAAATACGAGTTTCTCAATAATAGAAAACGTGAATACAATACAACATTAGATACCAAGTTCAGTAATTTTCCAATCAACATCATTCATCTTAACAATACAATTTACATAGATAATTGTGATATTGAAATGCTTACAGGAAATCTAATTTAAGTACATATACAACCTTCTTGAATACAGTTATAACTTCAGTACAAAATTTATTTATAGGTAGGTACATATAAAAAACAGAAATAGCGAGTCGGTACAATACCTATTTTTCAATAAAATAAAAATTGCATGATAATGAAACAGCATAAAAGATTTATTATAAAAAAATGTCTCTCTGCACAGACTTATCTCCGGAACCACTGCGCGGATTATAAAAGAACTCTTTTTCGTAGTGTACCAAACATTGGAAACGTCAATGGGGTTTAATTTATGAACATTCAGGAGAAAAACTCAATTTGGCTAAAGACACTAATTTACGTATGCACGGAAGTGAGTCTTAATTATAAAGAATTACAGAATTGTTCGACGTGGCCACAAGAGCTTCAAATCTCGTATCGAATTTCAGATTGTGGCATAGTACCTATAGTCCGTTCGAGTCTTTGTTTGGGGTTGATATGGATGGTAGAGGTAGGGAATGCAGTCAAGCACTTAATTTATATGATTAAAAAACTCATGTATTTAAATAAATCAGCCACATATTTTGTGTAAACTTCATAATTCTCTATGCGTGCATATATTAGCTTTGTTTCTATGCAGCTCTAAATAGTGTATTTACGATACGATATGATATGAATTTAAATAATAATAAAAAAATAACCTCCTGTGTACCGATCTTGATAATTAAAGGTTTTATTATTTCTTAACTAACGTCTGTTATTAGCATAATAGCCATATAAATACTAGCGAAACAAGAATAAAACTAAAACAAGTCTATAAAATAAAATCACTCGAGAATACAGTGAATTATTCACAAAACGACACGTGCGATGATATCAGTGAAGAGTCGCGCACGTGATTTTTACACCAAACAAGAACATCTGACGAAAATCTTACATCTGGTATCTGTCAGTGATAATGCAGACATTCAAAATGGCGTAATATTGTTGCATTATTATGTTTATCATTTAGAAATAGTATAATCCTTAACAATGTCGCAACGGTGCACGCAGGATAAAGTACTTAATCTAAGGTCGTGACTGAATCACGCTTTTCTCAAAAAGTAGTTGTTGGGTATACCGAAAAAAGTTCTCATGACTCATGACATAGCAAGAAAATGTTCTGCATCTGATTGTAATGCCATGCAGTTCACATGTGCTTACACGCACATAAACAAGCGTGTTTATTTTCCATCACGCGATCACTATCAGGTAAATTTACCGGTCAAGTAATTAGCTGAAATAATAATAATTATCTACAGGTTAACCCGTACGACCCGTCTTATCCCGTACTAAGGGTTAATACCTATGCAATATATTATCACGTTATTTATTATTTGTGTCGACCTCTTGACATTGTGTCATGGCCAGATAAGGAAGAAAAAATTAGGAAGATAACGTGTTTTGATAAATGTATCTTAAGATATACAATGTGAGTCGTCTTTCTGGCAATTATTAATGTCTTTGTTTCATTAATTTAGCTATGAACTGTAATATTTATATGTTAGTGTTTCTGTCTCGATCTGGATATCGGCAGATCATAACAATATAAACTTACTTCTTAAAGAAATGAAACAATCCCAACCGCGTCTTGCTTCACAGTATTACCATATTATTACGCCAACAATATGTCAGGAAATAAGCCTCAGCTACCTATGACCTCAAAGTCATGGAAATTAAATCACATCGTAATTATCTCAGGCAGGCAACACCTCAAGTTTCTTCGAGTCTTTTCGGAGACTTGCGTCAATAGACGGCAACGAGGGATCTGACCTTTGTTCCAAGTCGGCTTGGACAACTTAATTGGCGCGTTTGCTAACCTTCGTAATTAATAAGGCAAAGTCATGGGGCTTACTTGTGAGTACACAAGAATTAATTATGTTCTACAAATATTACACAATTCTAAATGTTCGGGATTCAAAGGTTTGTTTGCGCAGGAGATGCTCACATCACGTTACTCGCCATTCCAGCATTTGTTTATATTAAATGTTAAGTAGCGAAAATCTTTAGAACGTCATTAGTTGCTAGAATTGATTGACGTTCGAACGTATTCGATTTATATCGTACTTACATTATTTTAACTTTCACCGAAAAACGATTGCTCAATAGTGTTGCGCGTCGTTCAAATATACTATGAATGCTGCATATGAATTAATCATTTCCTAGATTTCAATGTATATATTATTGTTAATTAAAGTTCAGTCTTCTGTGTTT